TCACTTATCCCCTTTCATCAATTGGAGAAGTGCTCTTGATTTGTATGAATATTTTTATCAAATTGCTCAATGAAATGTTCCATAAGGCAAATAAATAATTGATAATTTTAATTTTTAATTAGTGTAAAACTTTTTTAATAGATTGATTTTAAAAATAAAAGTGAATTTATTAAATATAAATGAAAAACTGTTCTATGTGAACAAGTGTTAAAGAAAACTTAATTAAAACTATTTGTATGCATTATAAAAAACTGACATGCTTGCTATAATCATCAGTTTATAATTTGCTGAAGACTCCTCCATTGATTAATGCAAGTGATGGGCTATGCTGTTTTCAATGGTATAATTGTTGACATATAAATACATAGTATTTGAACATGTTTGAGCAGTAGGTATCTTCTTCATATCATCATGCACAAATGATATTGTTGAAGACGGATCAAACCAAAAGTAGGTGTGTCCGTTGCACCAGTTGCAAACAGAAGAAAATGAGCAGGTTTTAAAGATGGGATGAAATTTTTTTCTTCTGTTGTTAGCTCCACACCATCTACAATGTAAAAGCTTGTTTTAAGATTGTGCTTAATTTAATCTGTAGTACCAAAGAATATATTTGTTGATGCATATCCTGCTTGGAAAAAAGAATAAAGTGGTGCAGATTTTGTTTAAAATTTAACTTTAATTCACGAAACATTCTGACAACCTACCTTCCGTTGCCTGTATGAAAGAAACAAACTTTGCCATCACAACTTCTTCAGACTGGCGTCTTTGTTTGCCGATGGGTGAAAAATCAGTCTTTAGAATCGTAAAAAGTTCTTTGCCATTAACTTTGCTATTTCTTTTCTTAAAAAGATGCTCTGCCATTCCATTGTTTTTTCGAAAAAATTCCAAAACCTGGAAATATGAATAGCACAAAGCAATTTAAATCCCAACTTGTACACACTGGAGGGAATTAACGTTTCACACTTAAATCATCACAGCACAGGCCCTCTATAAACTGATCAAGCATTGTTTGGCATCTTATTATGACGAAGTATTTCACAACTTCATTGATAAATTGCTGTTTTTCCTGAATCTTCAAACATGTTGGTAAGCCATCAATATCATAACGCCATTCACATTGATTGAAAGATTCATCCAATTTCTGCAGAGTACTGCTATTTTCAAGCTATATTTTCAACATTTTAAAATATTGAAATTTTAAGATAAATATAGGGATGCTAAACAATCAATGGATCAATATGACATACCTTCTTTAGAGAATCCCTGATACTCTTTTCAGGCACTTCCTCAATAAATGGTGTTGACGCGTCAAAGGATCCTTGAATGTACTGGCAAATTGATCTACTGAACAACCGTGGCAGTTGATCTCCTTGAACAACTAACGTTGATAGCATCAGCCCAACAACTGCATAGGTTTTACTCTGCAAAGCATTTACATTGCACCTCAAAACATGACCACAAGTTGTATCTGCAATAAGCACAATGATATTAGTATGTAAACAACACTATGTATGTTCCCCATATTCAAATGGTCAGTGACATAGATGGGGAAATGGTACTTGCACTAAACAATTCCAAAGTCAAAAAATGAAGCTGAAACAATTGGACTAAATTATATAAGAAACAACATGCATTATGTACATGCATATCAACATGTAGTATGACTATGTCCTGCAAGTTGGCATAGGGTAAACACTTTATATTAGCATTGTATGTGAAATAGTAACTTTCAAACGCACATGAAATCTTCAACCTGATATAGCAATGTTTGCTCATCAACATCCAACACTGGACTACTCAGTTGAACATTATCATTATTTCCATCTCTCATGTCATCATCAGTTTTAATGGTAGTTGATCTATCTCCTTCATCATACTCATCTGTAAAAGAATTATTTTCCACAATTCTAGCTTCATCGTTGGTTAGATTACTGAATTCATCTTCATTTTCCAAAAGAACTTCCTTTTCTTTCACTTCACTGGCTACCAAGGCTGGAGCCAAATTAAGTGTTATCCGTGAATAAGCTTTTCCAAGGCCTTCCTTATATTTCTTCAGGGAAAACTCGATATCGGTACCTGCAATAGTGCGCGAAATTTTTCCGTCAGGATATACCAATACATAACCGCGATACCGATCAAATGACCGGTCATAGTCTTCCCACTTCTTCGTTGACATTTCCAACACCTCTTTGTACGTCATTTCTGGCGTCAATTTTACTGGAAACTTTCTTCCGAACACTTTTCTGAGACTGCCTGAACCGCATGGTTCGAACTCCATAATCCCAACATTGAACAAAACCTGTTGATCATTTTCTCTTTTTGAGCAAACATTTCTTTTCTTCAATTTCGGCTCAAAGTATGAGCGACGCTCAGCCTCCTTTTCATTTCTGTAGGTAAAAAATTGGGAATTTTTCCTCTGGGCTCTTCGATTTTGTTTCTATTCAAGTTGCTTTCGTTGTTTAAGTCTTTAGATGGACACGAAGAAGTAGAAGCTTCAAGGTCTTCTACCTACTTCTTGGTGCCGCAACTTGGACAAAACAAGAACGTTTTTTCAAGTTTATAGCCACATTTACAGCAAAACATAGCAGCGTTTAAAATCAAAACACACTTGCTGATTCTGAATGAGCCTGCATTAGCTTTGGTGCGCGGTAATCATTTTGCATTGGGTTAACAAATATTTTGCACTGAAACATTTTAATGAGTTTGTTTTGACTCTTCTGTTTTGCATTGGCGGACTTTGAATTGAGATTTCAATACTTTAGTGCGCTTTGGAAACATTAATTTTGTTTTGTAATGTTAAAGTTTGCATCTGAAACAGATGTTGCATTGAATTTATTATTTTGTGTATTGCACTTGTGGGCCACCGTAGTAAACAATCCAAACATGGTTTGCATATAATGTTGAGATTATATGAGCGCGCCAAATGTAAAATAAATATGGCCCGCGCCGAATGTAAAATAAAGTTTCTTGAGACAAAATTGACGGTTAGAAATATGGGGGATCTTTACTTAATTATCAAATGGCGCCAGAAACCTTTCAATTTCCAACAGCACTAAACCAAACAAAAACTAAACGCATTGTACAAAAAATCTTTCCACAATGCTTGGTTAAGTCGCACAACTTTTGGTCTATGTTACTGTCATAGTAAGATAGATTTTAAGGCTGCATGCTGACAAAAAGCTATCATAGAGGAGAGTTTTAAATGTTATATAGGTTATTATGTTCAATAACAGTGTTATAAGACCTGTTGTAACATCTGAAAAGGCTCTCATTGTCCGATAAGTAATCAACTAGAGATTTAACTTTTTATTTTACTGCCAGATTTCAGGAAAAGCTTCAACTCCAGTTAATATTGCTTAATTTCAACTTTATAATTTGCAATAGTTAATAATAATTGCTTCATTTTTTTATTTGAGCTATTCTGCCTATTCACAGATCAGTATTAATAATCTTCCATTCCCATTCACAGAATTATATTATCCAGTTTTTTGGCTCCTACTGTTTGTCGACGACTGGAAGGAGTGGATTTAATCACTTTTATAAAATAAAAACAATGAAACGCGTGCGGTGATTGGTCTAGAGTCGTAATTGCATTAGCATGTGCAAAACACATCTGAGCTTAACCAATCAAATCAATCAAAACAATCAGTCAGTCAAAGAGAATTTTCAAATCGATCATGAATACATTTTGGAGGAAAACTTGAAATTTTTGTCGTTTTCCCATTATTATTTCTTTATAAAAGAAATAGCAGATGTTTTTCGTGTTTTCACAGGGTTATGCGAACGGAGAAAACGTTTGTTGAGCTTTCGAGCATGTGTAACCCTCAACCTTTGGTTTCGGGCTTGCACTGATCTGCTCTCGAGTTCTCCCAAAGGTCTCCTCGGTTTGCATAAGCCCGTGCAAACACAGTAAACAACTTTTATTTCTTAATTGAAACAGTCATCGGAGCTTCGTTTATGTCAATTATGTGTTGCATGTTGTCAATTATGTTATGTCTGTTTGTTCTTCAGGAAAGTGAAATAACAGCTTACTTTAAGACCAAGCGCTTGAAAAAATCCTTTAGTGATGTCCAGTTTTCTCATTCCTTGCATAAATATGTGTATTTATACGTTTACCTTTCCGAAAACAATAAAAGGAAAGCTCAGGATGAATTTTGATGTTTGTTTGGACGAAGTAAGCGAACCACCGCACTTTCCACTTTCCTTGGCTGAAAACCACACAGAAAGCGATCTTTGCGGCGTTTTTCCAGACAATCAAGACCTTGATAACCAGTGCAGGAGTTTATGAAAGAATCAAAGTATTTGTTAAATTTAAAGCGTTTAAAACACGGCAAAAATCAACAGTATACTAACTGTCAATAGTAGCCATATTGCAATGTTTACTTTTGCGTGACTGCTAAGATCACAACGTACTGCGTGCTTCAGCTTTCTGGCGTCATTATGCATATGTCCATTGTTTTGGACCGTTTCAATAAACAAACAACAGGTTGACGCCCACCTCCAAATGCGTATGTCCTGGACTTTGCGCCTCAGTGTGGCTTTTAAAGCCAACTTTAAATTGTTGTGAGTTAATAAAGTGAAAACGTTTACGTCATTAAAACGCCAAGGAGGAAAAAACACAATTGGTGTATTCGTTTCTCAGGAAGTAAATAGAGGAGGAAAGGTATTCTTTACAAGTAGATCTTTGCATTGGTGGATGCCAGGTAGATGATAGACGACGCAAATTTCTATGCCACCAAGAGGTCAAGGTAGACGAAAAAGGCATGTTATAGCCGCAGACATTCAAATTTATCATCTTCAAGGACAAAACGGTGTTGGGCTTGAGAGAATTCGGATAAGTATATGCTAACGCCTCCTCCTCGGTGGTTTAAGCGATCTTTACTATAAAGATTATAACCACTTTTTGAAACAAGGTTATTATTGGAATGTCACTATTAAACGAAGTTTCGGTAACTATTACTGCATCAGCTTGCATAACAGGAAGTAATGCAACTAATTCGTCGAATTTTGAATCATGATATATATTGTTCAGAATTTTTATAGTGTTATATTTATCTATTTATATATTACACATTCTTCAATGATTATGTTTTTTATTTAAGACCATTAACTCCATTTCTCTCTTGTCGCGTCACTGGCATGAAAAGTTAAGGAAACTAAAATGTTTTGAATTTTGATTGTCGATGACCTGAAATAAGAGAAATTCAAACTTATTCATTTCTTCTTGTTAATTTCATGTTTGTTTATTGTTTATTGAGAAAAAAAAAATTTTCACTTTTTATGCTTAAAACACTTCTTTCCTGCTTGTCAACGTTCTCCTGTGCACGACAAGTTTCAGATTCTCCTCGTAATAATGTTGCACATAAATCAAAACTAAATTGTGCCACAAACACTTGTTAAGTCTTTGTATCAATTTTTAATTTTAATCTTCATTTTTGAAGCTATGTATAAGGAAGAAAGTTTTATGATACGAATTTAGTATTAACTTAAATGGAAAATTAATGCACTCAGACGAGTGCATTAATCAGTTAAACTTTGAAATTTGTATTAACGATGTTAACAGTTTTTGTTTCTTGTAAAAGTTATGTTGATTTGTACAGTAGCGAAGACAGCCTGATTTTTTTAGTTTTGCTATGCAAAATTCATTTATTTGTCATCTGATATTTTTCCAGTTAGTGGACACATAAAAAATTTACATAGCAGGACTAAATAATTGGGCTGGCTTTACCACTTGGTTTACATAAAAAGACTTCCTCTGACATTTTTTAACATTAAGTTTTTTGCAATGTTAAATTTATGCATGAGAGTTCAAGCAGGCGCTAATAATAGATTACGTCATGCTTGGTGAGTGTGAATGATTTTATATCGAGTTGAGAAGAATTGAAAACAAACGAGTGAGCGCAGCGAACGAGTTTTTTTCAATCCTTCTCAACGAGTGCATAATTAAAATTGTACAAACAAACCAGCCATGAAGTGATCTTTTTACCATACGAGCATTGAATTTTTGTAGTGCAATTTGTCGTTGAAGTAATAGCCACGATAGACACAATGAGGGATGTATTGCTATCGCTAATTGGGGTAGGGCCTCTTATTCATATATGCATGATATGCTGAGTTAATATCTTTGAAATGTATTGTTATCTACGGATTTATAACATGCATACATGAATAAGAGCCTCCCAATTAGCGATAGCAATACATTCCTGGACACAATTCAAACGCTTCGAAACAATGACCTAATTTGCATAAAAAAATATAACACAAATAAATTGTTCATCGGGAATAACTATTTTTTCTGCTGCGTCTGTCTTAACATTATGAAAGGCAATTCTTCTCTTACGAAGTACTTTGGTTTGTTGTTTACTTTTTATTCTTTCGGAAGGAAGCGTAATAAACTTGCTTGTATATTTATTAAATTGCTTGACTGGAATATTGTATATGCTTCGAAAGTTACGTTTCGATGATGAAAATTACTGAAGATATCCAATGTCGTGCTGTTTGAATCATTTTTCTTACACCTATAATGAATTCGCTGACGGATAGTGTCTTGGCAAATTGCAAGGCGATTGATAAATGAACTCAAAAAACATTGTTTTTTTGTTTGATTTTAATGCTGTTCACCATTCGTGATAAACTTGATATGCATTTTGTCACTAGTGGAAACTAGGGATCCAAGGATAGTGCAAAGTTTCTTAGAAATATGTTATGAAACAAGGCAAATAAAATTAGTTCCAAGAATGCTTAGTAACGAACCTTGGCGTTTCAAAAAATGCTAAAATGAAATGCATTTCGAGAAGTGCTGTTTTATGATTCTTCTGACACATATATGAAGCTCATGTGTTCAGAAGAACAAAATGCTTTGTTTGCGATATTTTTTAGCGATATTTTTTTCGCCTCATTAAACAATAAGGCAACGAGTATTAAAATGCAACGATGTTCGATAAATATTTACGTCGTGCAATTTGCATCAGTTGGTGAAGAGTCCAGTTTTCGGCAAGTTTGGGTGAATGAACGTTCATTTCGTATTTACACTTTCATAGCGATTACATGAAAGTCGACAAAGTCATACAGTCGTGCATGACTTTCTTATATTGTTCTAAAGTATTCCACAATTGATGCTTTCTTCAAGGACAATAATAGTGCACATTATTTCTGCAAAATGTTCCTTAGGCGCTGATTACATGGGATTCAGCCAAGCGTTAAATGATTTTGGCAATGGAAACGATTCAATATTTATCATCAGACAAAATGTATCAAGCAATTTCACAATATTCTGATTTAATAACTTCTCAAAACATTTAAAATTGAAACAACCAATTTGCCGTAATTTGTGAATTATACCCGGAGTGACGTGTGGTGCTTCGCTAACAGTTGTAATTTTCAACATTGAGGTTTTGGCTCCTTTCAATCCCTTGAAATCATCGGGCTAGCTCGCTATCCAGGCCAGCTCGCCTCCATACACTCAGGCCCTTACCGAAGCAGATGTGTGCGCAACATTCAATTTTACTGTCGTATGCTTAAGACCAATTAACCAACACGCAGTGTGCGAGTGTAGTTAGACCAGAAGTTCAGAGCAGGTTGGTAAATAAAAAAGGTAGCCAAGTTCTTGGAAAATACAGCGAATACCAATATTCTTCTCATTCTATATAAAACTCGAGCTTACAAAATCTTGAAAATATTTGTCATCAGTGCCAGCATTAAGGAAAAGCGTTATAGTTAAAACAATTTTTTTGATTTCGGAATATTCCATTTCCCTTACTTCACTCTTGCTATACAATTCATTAAACAGTTTGCATAAAAATGGCACATGCCCATTTAGATATTTCTTCAAAGAAATAGAGCTGCTGGGGGTAAAACAGGGGAGATACACTTTTATAACGCATTAAATTAAATTTATATATTTACATAAATTGTTAGTTTAAAATGTAGCAAATAAATAAATGTCTTAGTAAATGTGAGTTAAAGTTGGTGTTAAACGCTCTTTTGATAATCGCTGAAAAACTGATAAATATCTTACAAAATCATTAAACACAAAATGAGCATTGTTGCCAGACACCCCCAGAAAGTTTAAACTATGACTGATTGACTGACTCGTGTGAATTTTCGCCACTCACCCCAACACTGCAAAATTCCTATGGAAAATATTACACAAAAAATGGTGTATCCAATCAGAATGCAGATATGACGTTTTTCACTAGTGAAGAAAATGATATATCCAATCAGGTGCTCGAAAATTTTATGAATGTGAGTTTTATTTCACTGTTTTGTTGCGCATTTAAATTTCAATACCCGTATGATAAAGGTCAATATAACTACTTCCTGTGAAATAGCGCGCTTTGATTAGCCGGAAATATTTTGCCGGTCCATTACTTTTCCTGCAATTTTATGCATAAGTGTTAATAAAGTCCATAAAAAGCAAAACCAATCGCTTTGTAGAACGAATAAAGGAAAGAAGAACAAAGCATACAAAATTTTAGTCAAAGAAAGAGCCACTCAAAATGTGAGTTTCTTATATACAGATAACAACAATTCACAGGATTTATTAGTTACTTACAAAACTAGGAGTGAATGCCGATCCTAGCAAAACAGCAAGGACACGAAAAGAAGGAAAGCTCCTTTCAGGTCAAATAATGCCATATAATAAATTCTTTATTCATTGTGCCAAACATCGCCTCGATATTTTCTTTGCAAGAAGGCTTATATGATTCATGAATTTTTAAATTGTCTTACCCTATTATTCCTTTGTCTTCGCATAAGTTACACTATATGGTGTTAGGTCTTTCTGTTTCCTGTTTAGATTGTTTTCCATGTAGTACCTACATTGTAGGTAAACACATATTTTTTGCAATGAGCGCTAATACGCTGTAAGTATGAGATTTCTGTTTCAAATTTTTGAAAATATTTTTGAGATACATGCATGTATTAAAGCCCACACTCATTACAAATTTTTATGAGAAAACAACATGGTGTGCTGAGAGCCAAGCTAGCTTGCTGCAAATCAGTTAATTAGCATTCGTCATTTAAATCAGATGCAGATTTATATGATTATTGCACGTATGCGATTGGAGATAAAAACTTCGTACATATATAAAATAATTCTTTTCTGCAATTTCACATATGAATACATTTGGATGCCATCATTTTGATAGTTTATTTTTCTTGCAATGAAACGTAATGCCGAAGAAAGAGAAAGAAAAAAAGAGTGTTGTGTCGATTAAAGTTAAAACGTAGAAGCAAGTCATACAGACCAAAGCCATTTCATTAAGTCGTTTATGAATGTTGTTGTTTACAAAGAACATGATGTATCTAAGTATTTGTTTTAATGACATTGCTTTCATTATTATTGTAATAAAAATTATGCTTGATTTGAGAACTATTTTCTAGAAATAAGATATTCTGGCTTGGGAGAACGGCATGAAATTTTTCTTGTTTTGTTAAGGAAATTATTCTTAAGAAAAAATTTTCAAACGAGAAAGATTTGTTTAAAGTAAATGGTTTGAACCTGGGAGTAATGTTTGTAAATGATGATCGTCCAGGTTAATAAAGTCCTGAAGAAGTTGATTTGATTTGTTTACGAACCTTAGCGGTAGTCATCTTCATTTTGACTCTGAAGATGACTACCGCTAAGGTTGTCGAAACGTCAGTCAACAACAACAAAAACAGTCCTTCTCAGGACTTTATTAACCTGGACGATCATCATTTACAAACATATAAAGATTTGTTTGTCAAATTGAGGATTATTTTTCTTAAAAAAAGAAAAAAGTTTTTTATATGATAACTGATTTTGCTATTTCCATAGCTTTGCAGATACCTATAACACAAGGGGCAAAACTATAATGCTTTTTTTTGGAGGGGGGCAAAATATTCATAAATTCAGGTCTGCCCTACTGATTTCTTTTGTTCGCAATTTTAATTTCAAAAGAACTCGGCAGGGCATAGGTGATTTTTTTACAACACAAACAAAGTTTGTCCCGATAACAAACTTCCTAAATTATTGTCATATTTATAAATATGCATACCTGTAACCAAGAACTAAAAAACACAACAGTGCCATAATGAACAGAAAAGTTACAACTCCAGTGGCAATGAAAACTTTGATATTCATCACTCCTAAAAAGACAAAACTTCTGTACAATATGAAACATAAAAAATTTTATGACTTTTTTTCCTGCTATTGCTGAAATTAACTGTTGCAAGAAAATGAATGCTGCCTTCAGAAAAAATGAATGCGTTATCTACCATTTAGGCAAATCAGGATGGAAAAATATTTCTGTCTCTTAAAAACGTCCCGTGGGTTACGGCCTCAGTGTTTGGAGGTTAATTTTGGATTCAAAAATATTAAGCTATTCTATAACAGATAAGCCTAGGCCACCATATCGACGAAAATTAGAACGAAAACTTCCGCAACGAAAATTTTGAACGAAAACTCGACGAAAATTTCGTTTTCGTTCATATTAGAAGGGTTGAACTTTTGACCTTTTTCGTCAACGAGAACGCATACTATTGGCTAAAAATATCTTGATAATATCAGACTTTGTTCTCAAACATGGCGGAGTGGCAAGAGGTTTTGATAAATCTGATGCGAGAAAAACCAATTTTGTATGATAAAAGTCACCCGGATTATAAGGACTCGAGGAACAAGAAAAGAAATCACTGGCAAGATGTTTTAGATGAATTTAATAAAACTACGGACTTGGCGTGGGATAGTGAGTATTATTGATAGTCCGCCGACAAACTTTTTATATCAAATCATTCATTTCCATTACTTTTTAAACATTTTAGCAGTAACTTTTTCTTAAGAAGAAGTAATCTTTTTCTTTTAGAGATCGCCATTGTTTCTAATCCGTCAAAAATGCCGCTTGCTTATTGGCCAATAATGTTTTGGTTTGCAAACATGCTTGAAATTTTTCATCGTGTCTGGCATGCATTTCGTGCACGAATTTTCATTTCGTTTTCGTTTTCGTCAATATAGACGATAGTGTGGCCCAGGCTATAGCCTTCGATCTATTATAGTTTAGTGATAGAAACCAGGAAACAGGAGTGTGCTGCAAATTCAAGATGAATAACAAGAAAAGCATTTAAAAATCCCGATTGGTTTAAAATCCAAAAAACCTCAGTAAAACGAGAGACAACTCTTCTACATAAACTGCTTGTATTAACTGTTGTTTTTTTACTGAAATTTTTTACTTAATGATTTTTGTTTATTGTGTAAGTGGCCCATAGTATTAGAGGCCCACAACGAGCTCTGCTTGTCTTGTCCCTGGCTAGCACGCCTCAGCCCAGAAAAAGTATTCTATTTCTTAGATTCGATGCTTTAATAAAATGATTACTCCATGGTTAGATTGTTTAAACGATTGTTATAATACATTCGTGGAGAAAGACTAAAAAAAACTAGTTCGCTACACTAATACACTTATTCTTCAATCTTTCTCAACAATACACTCACTAACCATTAAATATTCCATATAGATAGCACAACACCTGAATACATATACAAAACATATAGTATGAATTCAAACTGTAGTTATTCAAACTGAATAAGTGGCTTGTTTTAAAGTTCGTTTTATACTGTCAAATTTAATTCAGTGGACTAAACTCGGCTCTGTAACTGATTTAATTCGACGCGTTGCATTAAACTATATATTGCAAGTGTATATATCAGTATATATAATCACATAGCAAGCAATTGTATACGTATATTTTCTGAGCACAAAAAAACCAAGAATATCCTTTATCGAGTGTATAAACAAAATTGTCAAGCTTAAATCTATTTGAAGCGAATAAAAGTACTAGCAAAACTTGTCTTTGGCTAGAAGAAACAAACGTTTTGACTATTAAACAAGCAATATTAAATTTCTAACTATTTTTTTCCTACAACACAGAGCAATATAAAACAGTTTGTTGGTATTTATTTAAAATAACATTCTTGTTAAATATATTAGTCACTGCTGACCATATACCAAATATAGTAATATGAACAAAACGTTCGTTGCACGTATATATATATATATAAAATCGTTCTAAACTATTCTCGATCCATCGACATATTCAACACAGTTTGGGTTACTTTGTGTTTTATTAAAAAAACACATAAAGATCTTGCATAGCTTTCATTTTCAAGTGTTGATGAGAGAGCTATGGTATTTACATAAGAGTTGTTTACCTTTAGATAAATTCATAGAAGAGATTGTGCAATTAAGCTCATCCAATTTGCACCTAATAAAATAAACATTTAGAAACAAACGTAGCAATAATTCCATAGTAATAATGTGTAAACAAGTAACTTAGAAAATTTAATAAATTTCTAATTCTTGGCACAGTGAAATTAATGTATCATTTTATTTGAGAAATAAGAGCAATGGTTGAGTTAATTATGAAAAAGGTCGGCATACATGTGTGTATGATAAAAAAACTCACGAACTCTAACTGACTGTATTGGTTTAAAATGAAAATAATTTTCAATTCATCCTAAATAAAGATACTCAAAATTTATCATTGCTTGTTGTATGAAAAACAGGTTTCAGGAATCCTTTGTATTTTACGAAAAACAAGAAACCAGGTTTGTTTAATCATAAATCTAATCCAAAAACTATGTTTTCTGGAATCTTTATGACGTATACTATTTATAAGTTGATTTACTTTGAAATAGTATTATTATGCAGCATTGGAAAAAAACATTATTGCAAAAATTTCAAGGACCATTCTCTTTCGGTGCTGCATCATTATGGTGCATCCCATTGTTTTCAAACATTCATTTTTTTACCAAGAGATAAATGCGCTGATATTTTATATAATCAGTGTATTCGATTCTTTATCCCTTAAGATTGAATGAACGCACAAGCTATTTAGCTAAATGTTATTTTTGTTCATTTATAAATTAATCTTGCGTCTAGATAGTTTTTTTCTATCTAGTTATTCATTTTCTTTTTAATTTTTAATTATATCATTTGGCACAGTAACAAGCCTGAAAAGTAAAATATGTGCAAAAAATTTCGGTTCAATCTCGGAAAAAAATTCCAGACTTTAAATTTTTAATGTAAGTTTCAATTTTGTACTTCTAATGAAAGAAATTTATTTATGAGCTAACCTCAATGCAAATAAATAGTTTAGCGTCCATATAAAATGTATAAGATACATATATGAGGTTATACTCGTTAGATCGATTATTTACTTAGAAATTATTAGGGAATAATGTTATTTTATTATGGAGGACAGATTTGGGTTTGCGTAAGTGTTTTTATTAGTTGTTTCTGGAAGGATACATTGTTAAGAAAAATGATCTGTCTATTCGATAAAGCATCTTTAATTCCGAGAATAACGTTGTATAAAAGCAACTTGAATTGTAGTTTGTATACTTCAAGAAATTTCAACACTAAGAAAGTTTTTGTATAGGAATAGAAAGTAAAACAGTATTGTTGTATCGTATCATTTTGAATGTACGCAGAGTTTTCCTAATGTGTACCTTTCTGTCGCCATACGATGTGTATTTTCATCTTCTAATTGTTGGTTTTCACAGGAATCTTAACATAAAACAAAAACAACAATAATTTGAAATGAATAAAAACGCAAGACATTGCAAGTTCTATAATTTATGTTTCATGTCCATTGGAAAAATTAAATTAAAATTCGAATCAATGCAAGGTTAACCTTAACTTAACACAGAAAGTTTTCAACGTGAAACTTTAAAAAGTGACTGCAATGATGAGAGAAAAAACAGTAAGAGATGTCTCATTGTATAAATGCATTATTAAACAAATAATATCAATTTTAAATAAACTATTTCACTATTTAATTTTATATCTACAAGGAAGCAATTTGTCAACACTCTCTTGTTATCCACTTTTAGAAATAAATTGTGAGTATTTAATCATCATAAAAATGTCTACGCGTGACAATGTAAACATATTGAATTGTTCCTCTTGATTTTGACTTTGCGCAAATATCTCAAGTTTTGTTTTCCAAGAGGTTAAAAGTATAAATCTTCATTGTGTTCAAATATACCATGTAACATTGCTTCATCCCAAAAATAATAACATTTATAGATTTTTGGACTGATTCACAATGTATTCAACATATAATACATAAAATATAATCCAATGAACCGTTGTATCATAGGAGCAATTAAAAATGCGTTGAATTGAGGCCAGGTATGTCTAAAGCTTTAATGACTATTATTCATAATAAGACAAAGAAACATCAACAAAACAAAGGTCTTTAAAGAAAATTGTAATTTTTGTCATCTTACTGCGATCCATATTTCAAAACGCGTGCAGTTATCCATTCAAGCAATACGTTTTGTTTTATAATAGGTTTTGAGACTTTAAAATAAGCAATTAAAGACATTGTCTGTTAACAAAGGTGTGTACAAAAAGTAACAATTCAGCAATACATGCATACCTTTTAAATAAAGTTTTCCATTGCAAACACTTGCACAAGTATGTCCACGAGGCTTAGACAGACACAGATTAGAGCATTTTTTCACTTTAGAGCAAGTACTTAATACTGTAAAAAAGTCACGGCATAAGTTATTTAATTAATGAACTTTGTTTCCCAAGGAGAGGCATGGACGCCGACACCGGGGAGGCTGTGGGGGCTGAAACCCCCCCCCTTTTTTCCAATAGCAAAACGAAAAAGATGTATAGACTGAGCTGAAGTTGTTGTTTTGAAGTGTTCTCTTTAAGACGCTATAGCAGAATTCAAGACTTAGCCATTCACCTCATATGTTGTTCTGCCGTCCCAGAGAGGTATTTATATCATTTATCGAGGATATGCAAATTTTCACAAGAAAGAAAAACAAAAACCAATTTTGTTGTGCCATGTAAATATTTATCTTTTCGCACCTGTATGGCAAAACGGCAAACGAAATGTGATTTTTCGGTTGAAAAAGGTAACGCAATCATGAGTAAAGTGGCTATAGTGACGTTATTTAATTAACTATTTTGGAAGCCATTCACTCTAAAATGAATTGATTTCTAAATAAAGCCGATGATCTGGAATTTATACAGACCAGAACATGCAAACATGCAGGGTGTTTACGCCACTGTATGATTGCTTTGATATGCAAAGTCTAGACAATATTGTTATTACTCAATTCTTTTGAATTCTGTTGTTTTCAAACAGTTTTTAAACAGAAAAATTCATCAAGACTGAAAAATTATCAGCAAATGGGCGAATTTACTATTGGCATTAGCACTAGCAACAACTAAAATGTTGACCTGCAATATAAATTCCGTATTGGGACTGATCTATGCAATAATGGAATACAAAAAAGATTAACAGTCACAAAAAAGGAAGTATGGTTTTCTTAGTTACTCATGTTCAATACGTCAACTAGCTTAATTAAACATTACTGAACATCTTAGCCATGGAAGTTAAGTTATTGAGTTGCGTCCTTTTTTGTGTGATGCATGACGTTTGTTTGGATGTTATAGATTAAAAGTGCTATATAACAGAAGCTCATCCTGTATGAATTGTTTAGAAAACACACTCTTAGTAACTCAAAACTGCTCCAACCACCTGGCTCTAACATTCCTAAAAGTCTTAAAGACTTTGAACAAAATAAACTTTACGATAGTTAACAGAGATGGCATCGTTTAATATTTATTACCTTCATTGTCATGGTCAAAAACAGCAATAATGGTCAATGGAGGTTGAAGATTGCTGTCAAGAACCGTGAGTTTGTTACCAAATTCCTTGTTTGCGCGGACTAACGTCTTTCGTTGATGGTCCATCCAGTATATGTAGGAACCAACTACAGCCACACCAAATGTGTATTTCCTCTTAAATACACACAAAATAAAAATACATAACTTCTTTAAATGCAACATAGAATTGCGCACCCATTTATAGATGACAAGATTTTTTGTTGCAACATTCCAAATTAAAGGTGATTTTGAAGCCTCCCTCAATTGAGTGTGAATGTGAATAAATCTTGAAATCTTCCACATAGTCCATATTAGAAAGTATGGAACATTTTTAGCAGCACTGACAAAACAATACCATTATTCAAACATACTTTATTGATTGCACACGAAATGATAATAAGTGGTAAAGCTCCAAATGTATTTATGCTATTAATGTCCTGCGTTTTGTAGCGCTTGTTTTCAGAAATGTTGTTTTAATACAAGACTTAAGTATACTGAATACATGAATGTTTCCAAATAGATGCAGAATTTTCATTTAAAAGAATCCAGGAAAAATGGCTATTTCTAAAACCAGAAATGGAGAATCGGGAAACGGAATGAGGAACGAAAAGGGGAATAGGAAAAACCAAACATACTAAAAGCCGGAGTCTCTAAAATCAGGAATACTAAAAGGCAGAATCTCTAAAAACAGGAATACTAAAAGCAGGTATCTCTAAAAATCTCTACTGTCAACAAAGCATCGAAAAGAAGGTTAGCTCATCAAAGTTATAGCATCAATAACTGATATTAATAGAACAGCTTTTTTACGAGTTTGTCGGAGAGCAAAAAGAGTGCAAATACTGATTTTGACCACATTTTGGTACGGCATTATGAGGAGTATAACAAATTTAAATCAAGAACATATCCTGTGAAAGCATATATTCAGTCGTCGATTAGAATTTCAACAGAAGCACTAATGACGCAAGTGTAGCGATGAAGCTTGTGAAAACACATTGAACGATTGTAAAACTGAACAACTCAGATTGGCGAGACTGCTCGTAATGCCGTACAAAAATATGGTCAACATCGTTATTTGCGCTCTTCTCGTTCTCTAACAAAATAGTACAATGCAGTTATAATTCTATAATTTTGATAAACTAAATTCTTAATTCTTATCGATGCTTTGTTGACAGTAGTGATTTTAAGGGATTCTGGTTTTCAGTATTCCTGGTTTTAGAGATTCCGGCTTTTAGTATTCCTGGTTTTAGAGATTCCGGCTTTTAGTATTCCTGGTTTTAGAGTTTCCGGCTTTTAGTATTCCTGCTTTTAGATATTCCAGCTTTTAGTATTCCTGGTTTTTCCTATTCCCTATTCCGTTCCTCTTTCCGTTTTTAGAAAGGAGTTATTTGCCACGCGAATAATAGTTTTATTGCTTCCGGGGTCAGGTTTGTTATTCGTATAATGCCTTCATGGGTGGTTTTAACGGTACTTCATGTGTTGCAAATAGGTTTTTCCAAGAAAAAATTGATACACTTTGTATAATTCCAATCGCGCATAAATGCACGTGGCATGTTGTAGTTATATGTAGAGATGAATAAGTTACACCAAGGCACAAGCACGGAATATATAACTTAACAGAATGTCCACTCGTGTCGGAACCTTTGAGGTTCTTGTCCTTCACTTTTCTGAACCTTTGAGGTTCTTGTCTTCCAGCTAGATACTTCCGCTAGATCGCAACAGAAAATATAGATGTTTTACAAATAAATCGTTTTTCACTGTAACCCTCAAGGACAGTATTGCCTTTATCGTAGTTATCACGGTGCAATTACAAAAGCACTGATATCACTTGCAGAAGCATAATTAAACTTGACAACTTGTTTGACATCACTTGACAGTATTTATTTAGTTCGCTGCTTTCGTCTTCACTAAATCAGTTTATTCATTGTAATGAATGATCGATAAATGTTAAAATATGTATTGGTGTTGTTTGTATAGAGCTTATACATTGGCTGTTGCACCTCTTCATGCATTTTGCATATTAATGTTTCCACTTCAACCTCTCAACCTACATTGTCTTAGGAGCCCAGTACAAATCTCGTCCGATAACAACTATAGAGTCCTGAACTTCTGCCTTTCAGACTTTCCTTGTAGTATATACTACAAAGTTCCCAAATGAGGCCCCATTTTTAATGAAGTATGGGGAGGTTGTTTGGGACCTGGCGTTTTGTGGGGCAGACTGGCGGTATTATGACAAACAGTTTCGGTTGTTAAGGCAAACACGATCGGATGATATGCCTTGGGGCTCCACTCATTGGCAGCTTTGGATTAAATCTCAGACATTTAGCAGCCAAAAATCATTAAGTCAACAAGGCCAGTCTTCTCGGTCCTCAGCAATGGACATCCCCAAAGGTTATTGCTATAAATTTAAAAGTGGGTTAGAATGCCTAAGATGTAATGACAAACATGCTTGTTACAAATGTAACATGACACATCCGGCAAACCGTGGTAGCTTTCGTCCCTCCACGGGTACCAGTCCTAAAAGCACACCAGTAAAAATTGATCGTCTTTTACCGTTGCTACCTGGTTATGATGTGGAATTAGTGCATGCTCTATATCAAGGTTGTAAATTTGGTATTTCTCTTCATTCTTGCGGCACTCATACTTCCTTTCATGCATAAAATTTTATTTCAGATAACGAAATTCCGGATATTATTAAACAAAAGTTTTTTAAAGAATTATTAGCACACCGATTAGCGGGGCCATTTGACTGCCCTCCATTCATTAAATTTAGGGTTTCGTCAATAGGATTAGTTCCTAAAAAAGCAGCTGGTAAGTTAGGACAGTACATCATCTCTCATTCCCAGGTGGCTCATCAGTCAACGAGCATATCCCTCTAGAACTTCAGTGAACTATGCCCGAGTTGATGATGCCATACCTCTTGTTCGGTAAATAGGACCCGGTTGTTTTCTTGCTAAAATAGATATTAAAAATGCCTTTCGCATTATTCCTATTCGACCGAAAGATTATAATGTATTGGGCATCAGCTGGGAGCCGGATGTGTAAATTTTACTATATGAAGGCCATGCCAATGGGGTGCTAGTATTCATGTCGCACATTTGAAATGTTCAGTACAGCTTTGGAATGAGTTGCCTAACGCCACTTAAAAATTCAACATGTTGCCCAAAGATAAATTAACGAAATGCCACTCCCTAGTTTCATCGTTTCAACAGAGGAAGAAAGTACAGTTGCGAGACTTGCACTCTTTCATTGGGCCTTTAAATTTCGCATGCTCTGTTATTGTTCCCGGTCGAGCTTTTATTTGTCGCCTTATTGACCTCATGAAGGGTGTTCGTTCAGCTAAGCATTTTATTCGTCTAAGAGCTTGGGCTAAGGAAGACTTGCAGGTTTGGAAGAATTTTCTAGACGATTTTAATGACAGGACGTTTCATCTTCATGATAAATGGCAGGATTCCGATGTCTTAAACTTATACACGGATGCAGCACGTATATTTTAGGATTTTGGGCAATATTTGGGTCATATGAGGGTCATGTTTTGGGCAATATTAGTCCCATGTTGAGTGGCCTGAGCGATGGAAAAGCTTCAATATTACGTTCTTGGAAATTTATCCTATTGTCCTTAGTGTCCTTCTGTTGGATCTCCTCATGGAAAACCAGCGCATCATCTTCTTTACGTACAATGCGGCATTGGTAGAAGTTACTAATAGACAAAACGTCTCGGGAAAAAAGAGTAATGGTTTTTGTGCGTCGGCTAGTGCTGGCCTGCATGCAACATAACATTTTGTTTAGGGCGAGGCATGTTCTTGGGGTAAAAAATGTCTTAGCTGATTGTTTGTCCCGTTTACAGGTCACATCATTCAAGTGGGCCGCGCCGCCGGGCACATCCATGCCCAACGGTTATACCGGAAATGCTCTTACCATGCAAGCAGTTGGTCGATATAGCTACCTTGTTGGTTACTTCAAGATTGCAGCCATCGTCGATCCCAACATAAAAAAGAGCATGGAAACTTTACAGTCAATTTTCGACACGCGTATTCGATTTGCCTTCTATTTCGTTACCAATAACACCGCGCAATTTCGCTTTTTTTAATGCATTTATGTTTCTACATTGTTATGCTGCTTCAACGGCACACACCTGCGTATCTTCACTCAGTTACTGTCACCGCTTGCTTGGGCTGTCCGATCCCAGCAAAGTTTTTTTGGGTGCAGGAAATGTTGAAAGGTTATAATAAAAGGGGAACTTGAATGGATACCTGTAAACCAATCACTCTTCCTATCCTTCACAGAATTAAAGGGGTGGTGCAATTTTATAGTTCTATTGATTATATGACTTCCTTATTTCTAACCATGTTCGCGACAGCCTTTTTTGAATTCCTACGTATTGGCCTAATAAGAGTAAGCGACCGTTCCTCATCATGCATTCAGCTTAGCCAGATGACGAGATTGTTGACTAGTGGTGGCTCTACGGTTGGTTTCAAGATGACTTTTTGTGATTCCAAACATTCTTATAACCATCAGATTAACTTATATCGCCGATTAGACACGTGCCCTGTGCAGAGTTTAGAGGAGTATGTTTTTCGTCCAAGGGTTTTCGATGTTATCAAAACTTGATATTAACATATTAACATATTTGTATATTGATTACGTTTGATTAAATTGCACAAATGATTGTCGGTGTCCATTACTAATTTATGTTCCGTCGGTCCACTAATCATGTTGAGGTGGGGTGAGTCCTATTAGGCAGTCCTTGTGGCGTTTTCATCCCCAACCTTTTCTGTGAAAATAATCATTTAAGCATTCTTACGTTAATTTCAACGTAATTAGTTCATTTTGTAAAAATTTAATAAATTATAATTCGGCATGCGCTCTATGCGCATAGCCATTTATGTCCCAAACTTTGAGTGGTTTGTTATTTATACGCACAGAAAACAGAGCTCAACATGATTTGTGGATCGACGGAGTAATGGGTCGATTTTAATTTGTTGTTAATGACGAAGGAAGCGATAAATAGCCCAGTAAAATTAAACATTTTCTGCTAAAATAGTCATTAAAATAGAAATAGATGTTTCAGTTTTGTCGACAATTTTTTCCGTGAGCAGTTCCATGCATTTCATTGGATGAATAGATTTAATTTGGATTATCGCAGCAAGAATGTATATATGTTTGTAAATGATGATCGTCCAGGTTAATAAAGTCCTGAGAAGGACTGTTTTTGTTGTTGTTGACTGACGTTTCGACAACCTTAGCGGTAGTCATCTTCAGAGTCAAATGAGGAGTAAACGTCAGGTTAGCCGTATTTGTTATCTGGTTCTTACGTCATTGTATTGTGTGTACAGGAAATGTGTATTGTCATTGTGGATTAGATTGAAGTGAAATATTTTATTTTTAGTTGTGATGTGTGATCATCACAAGGACAAAGAACAACCCAACGAACGACAAGGTGCAGTTTACAAAATAAACTGCTCCGACTGCCACGCCTCCTATATCGGGGAAACTGGCAGGAACTTAAACATAAGACTTACTGAGCACAAACGAGCTACTAAGAAACAAGACAAAACTAATCACATTGCCGAGCATCACCGAATCACAAAGCACAACATTGACCGGGATTCGGCAAAATGCATCACTTACAGTACTGACTATAGACAACGGCTTACATTAGAAAGTTGGTATACCAACTTGGAACAAACCCCCCTGAACAGATCACAGCAATTACCGGCACCTTACAAACGACTTATTCACAATACAAACAAACGATCAACTAAAAACACTACACTTCAAACTAATTCACAATGACAATACACAATTGACACCCACACATTACAACTAAAACGTCACACCTAAATCACACATCACAACTAAAAATAAAATATTTCACTTCACACTAATCCACAATGACAATACACATTTCCTGTACACACAATACAATGACGTAAGAACCAGATAACAAATACGGCTAACCTGACGTTTACTCCTCATTTGACTCTGAAGATGACTACCGCTAAGGTTGTCGAAACGTCAGTCAACAACAACAAAAACAGTCCTTCTCAGGACTTTATTAACCTGGACGATCATTATTTACAAACATATAACGATACTCCCGGGTTCAAACCATTTACTTTATTAAGAATGTATATCTCAAATGCCAATTTACTGTGATCTTAAAATATAATTTTGTGGCACAAAAGAAGTCTTTAAAAAGGAAGCTTTAAAGTAAGGCCTTTTCAACTCGTTTAGAGTTCAAAATTGCTACTGAATAAGGTAAACACTGCCAATATTTCAGACAAAGTTACCTTATATTTGTAGATGCAATCTGCTGGAAGCCATCATAGTTACATCTTTCCACGACACCATTTCTCAAATCACTCCAGTAAAGAAATTCCCTTTCTATGTCAAGAGTTAATGCTACTGGTTCATAAAATGCCTCTTTGTACGACAATAGCTCTTTCTTGGCCATCTGTGTGTGCCTTCTCAATAACAGCTCTTTCAGTGTCAGTCCAAAAAAGGAGCCTGTATTTAGAAATTAATGAGTATATGTAATAGAAGCATTTTAATACCTTAGTCTAGGATATCAACATAGGCATTTTATACGTAATTAAAACGCATTTAAGGCATTGAATTTTGGATTCGATTATTTTCTGAAGGGTACAATGAGTTAAAAAATAATCAAGCAATTTTGAAACCCCAACCCAAAAGCATTTTTTATATTATAATATATATTTTACAGATACAGCATAGACATTTTACTATAGATTGTTAATTGTGAACTTTAAATTTGATGACTTGCCCTTTGATATAATCAACCACAATATTATACGGCTTCTTCAATGAGTGGGAAATAAGACTTGCTGCTTGTGATCCATCAGTTTTAGAAATCATAATCTTTCTTCTCAAGTCGTCGCTCCAAAATAAATTATCAGAAAAAAAATCCACATCAAGATCTCGAATTGATGCATTCAAAAAGTTTATAATTGTCTGGTGTCCTGAAATTAAACACGCATGCATGATTAACATATGTATATTAACAAAAATTAGGCTAAAAGATAGCTAATTTTTACTTAAAAAAATCAATTATAAAAAATAGATTTTAAGCCCACATCAATTGAAAAATATCGTATATAGCTAACTATAAAATAAACAACAGATTTTGGAAGAACTAAAAAAAAAGAAACACTGAATTTTTTGCTCATTTTTGCTTTTGGAATTCTTCTTTATTTCCGTCTTTAATGATTTAATGTTTTTCACAACATTTGATCATTCAAAAATTAGATGACAACATTTTACATTACTGCTCCAAACGAATCAAAACAAGCCAATAATACATCAGAAGCTGGATAAAATATACAACTATATCTATAACTTCGTGGTAATACCGCAATGCATGCTTATAAATACTCCGGTTTATATAATAAAGCTCATTCTACAAACATAACTCACACGTGGTTGTTTTTTTGAAAATATTACTCTAAAATTTCGTGGTTGGATAATTTCTAGTTGGAATGAAAACCTGAATGGAAAGGAGTTATTTATTGGGTGTTATAAATACTAAGCAAAAATAGAGTTTTAGTTGTCTTTTCACAGACAAAGAGACACTTATTTCAAATTGGCGTGGAATTTATCTAAATAATGCAATGTATTTCTCAGTTGCCCTATAGTCTTTTCTTTCTTCTCCGACAGAAATATCCATAGCCAGTAGCCACAATAAACAGGAGAGACAGCCTGTATATAGACTAAAACGGACTCCACTCAATTAATAAACAATAAACATACTAAATGTAGCTATAATTTAACGTAATGTATACACTTATCATAAAAAACATGAAATAAATTTTCACGTAACTGTAATTATCAATCTGGCTAGAACAAGAACACAATAGCTTTAGTCATTAGTATGCCTGAAACCTGTTTAATACATCTCATAGCATGGTACTGATAAGACTACACCAATCCATGCTGTCATGTTTTGCTCGTTTATTAATTGATATTTAATATTCAGATTTCAGATTTCTTTAGTTTTGTTAGTATAAAATAGAGGTGGCTGATGTCAAATTGGTAGAGTGCAAAACGATGGCGGCGCGCAGGGGAGAAATTGAATGAAAATTTTTTGATCAAGGATACAATATTTTTCGGAACAGCCCTCATAACTAGAGATTCTTTTTCATAATTTATTGATTTATTTAGCACGTGGTAAAACCTAAAATTATTTTAATGCGGAAAAACCAAATTGAACAGAATAAACAAAACATTAAGAAAGATGCGGTCAGCTCTTTCAAAAAGTGAAATTTAATTCTTATTTGAAGTTTGGCTTTATATTTTTACATTTAACGTTTTCAATTAGCATTATCAATTTTAAACTGCATCAACGTCAATAGAATACTACTATAGACTTATAACATTTGCTTTATTCAAGTTATTTCTACACCAAAATTTTATAAATAATTTTAACAGTAACGTTAAAAGTTTTTTGCCCAAGAATAGGGAATGAACACATTGGTAAATAAATGAACATGAATGATCATTTGAAGTAAATGCATAAACATGACATCTCACCCCCCTCCAAAAAAACCAAATTATCAGTCTACCACAGTTCTTGTTTAACATGATTTTCATATTTTATCAGCAAAACTTCTGACGATTAAAAGTTTTGCTTAAGTGCTTAGAACAAAATAGGCAAGACTTACTGTTTTCTAAGCTTTACAGGCCCGCTTCAGTATGCTAAAAATAAGTACTCCGAAAACATTCTTGAAAAAAATTATTTACAGCAGTTTTGAAAGATATCATGCTTTTCACGATTAAACAAAAGGTTTTTAGGCAAAAGCTCTGACCTTAGAATCTTTATGATTGCTCAATTTCACAGAAACTTAACACACCTCTAGCAAGGAACACTGATTACAGACAAAAGGAGTACTTCTCCCCTGCTCTTTTGAATTATGGAAATCGCTTGTTTAATTTCTGCTGTGTGCCACTATGAAAATAATTTCCAATAATAGCTACGTGGTGGTCTAATTAATTTATTTTATTTTCTTTGGTTTAACCAAAAATTATCTTCTTTCATGCATTAAATTCATACTGTGCGCTGAAGTTTAGTGTTTGTATACCTCTAACCATAGGTTATAAAAAACATTGATTGGTAAAAATTACAACGGAGCTTGTCACTAAAATCTTTCCATAACACAAAATGTTCACCATTTTCAATTATAGGCAACAACACGGAACAAATTGAATAGGATTGGTAACTAAAGTGTAACGTAATATTTAGGACTAGCTGTTTTTGCAGCACTCCGTTTTCGTTAGAACATGTTTAAAAAACGCGGTCGTATCGCTTCGGCCGAGTAGACGTTTTCAAACAATTCCGCTTCGGTGCAAAGTAAATGCAATCCAGTTCTGTTAAATTTTTGCGCCGTGTTCAGACCAACGTAATTTTAATAAAATCACACTTGTCTATACCAACTATGAAACAAGTATCTTTGATGTTGTACATGATGATGTTCATGTTCCACAAAGTAAATAAATTTTTGGCACTTTTTTCTATGTCAGTAATTCTTTCTGTTTGTTCCATAGAATTACCCTCGAAATGTTTCATCTTGTTGAAGTTGTGACCGAAACAAAACGGATTTTTCTATGCAGTGTTTTGCAGAAACAACCATATTTTAACTATACAATCACTTTTAAAAGCAGCGCAAAGTTCATCTAATGAGAAAAAAATCGTTGAAGATGCTACATCCACTAACCTGAACCATTAAGGAACGATGAAAATATTGTGCTGCCATTAGTCCAAAAGATATGATTTCTTCCAACTCGGAAAGCAAAGTCATTAGAAATTTTCGTAAATGTGACAGTAAGAGTGACAGCTGTCAAGTCACCAGTATCTAACGAAATTCTTCTGAATCCATTACCAGATGTATAAAAAATGGATCGGTAAGGTTCTAAAGCATAGAGCATATATAAAACGTACATTATGACTTGTGCTGTTATCAACATTCTTTCTTCGCCTCAAAAAACACAGCAAATTTTATTATGACGTAGCTAAAATTACATTAAAAATAGAAAAACATACTTTTGCGGCATGTCTTTTTGTCTTGCTCAAGACTCAAGCCAAGAGGACATAAACAAGTGGCATAGGCGGTGTTTTGCAAACAAAAGTGAGAACAATTTCCATTATTTCTGTCGCATATACTTCTTGACACTATAGAATTTAGCAAAAGCAAAAATATTGACGTAATGAACAATGGGAAGCATTTAGGAATTTTTTAATACATGTAGACAATAACAAAAATTCTGGAAAAAGCATTTTTTCACATTATTACCATGTCTGATGACTTTTTAATACTCTAAAATATGATTTAGTTGCTTTTTCATTAAGTTAGTTGCAACAAAAATACTAATTAGCTATAGCTTTCAAATTAAAAGGTTATACAGCAATGTGGAAAGCATCGTCATTTTAATAATTGAGCACCTTGTAGGACAAACAAGACCTATATCAACTTATGCATTCAAAGAGTTACATATTGTTATCAATACTTCTTTATTACTTCATTCCTTTGTTTGGCTGAAATAAATTTTCTGGGTATTTTTCTTTAAGCTAATATCAGGTAACTTTTACTAACCAGGTACTTTCCGCATGTTGATTGCTTGCATTTTAGTGATGCCATCTATCCCCTTAAGAACTGATGAACCAGAACGTTTTCCACTTTTCTTTTGCTTCATGAGTGTTCTAGTTGCCCATTCCGTCCAATAAACAAACTTACTAAACAATGTCAACGACGTAGGACCCGCCAAAGAAGTTACGAATTGCACTCTACGTTTACCAAAAAAGTTGCAATGTTCAATTTTTCCATGAAGGTAATCGGTCCAGTACAGAAGACTATTCACGTGATCCACTGTCAAGCTGTTAGGCAATCTTAACTCAGATGTAACAATTTTTCGAGCAGAATCACCATCCATGCTAGCGCGTGATATTGAAGAATGCTCACCAACATCAGCCCAAAAGATGTAGCTAAAAAAGGAAAGTTCAAGAAAGGAATACGATACAATTACTATTTGCGGTAGGGTGGGTAAAACAAGTCAATAACCTGAAACAACGCAGGTTGGCTTCCTATGTGATGATAACAATATTTTTTTACATATTTTATTTCTTCATTTGCCAAATTTTTTTGTTAATTAAAAAATGCATATTTTATGACTGCTTAGAGTGTTTTTTTTTCAAACAAATTTCTTTGTGCAATGTATAAAATACTTCATTTTTCTGTTGTGAAGTTAAAGTGCAAACGCTGTGCATTTTCCTATAATCTCTCCATTTGGAAACATGGAGAGATTATATTTCCGCATGATATTCAAGCATTTGTCAGACCTCAGTGCTCGCATAAGTAATACCAACTTTTAAAATATATTCTAAGGTCCCTTAAACGTTTAAAAGGTTAAAGATTTTTCTGCATTTTATAGTTCATGATTGTTGTTGCTAAAACCAAGATAGTAGAAGTTTTTCAATTATTGATAGCGTACACCATGCTACGCTATTTTTGACAACGAGTTTACGATTCCGAAACGAAATTCATTGAGTAAAATGAAATATAAGAAAGTATATATAATTCAATGAGTAAAATGAAATATAAGAACTACTCTCCTATTTCAATAACATTCCAAGAAGTAAAAAAAATATTATTCCTCCTTATAAAACAGCAATAACTTACGAAAGTAAGTCATAGGGCGCAATAAATTATGAGGAGTGGCGGAACAAACCTACATGATTTTCGTAGGGCGAGGGGAATGCCTTCCAGCCTCCAGGATTTTAAAAAATTGCAACTGTTTTCCCAAAAATTTTGGGAACAATTATTTGCAAGTCGTCTGCTTTTAAGATAATTTTGCTTTTTTAAAGACAAAAGCTAATTTAATCTTAACAGTTTTTCTTGCACAAAATAATATTCCTTACAATGACAACATAAATATGCTTTGTTTTTCTTTTCAAAACTTTGAATTTAGCATTATAGCTACATTACACCTACTTTTTGAATTTTAGCTGCTTACCCGTGATTATAAGCCAGGGCGATAGAAGACGGTAAATTCAAGTTTTTCCAAACAACTACCGCCCATAAATTTTTTATGAGATGGGTCAAATATATCTTTTTTGTGTGAAGATCACTCCAGTATATATGATTACGTAATGGATCATACGCAATATCAGCAGGAGAAATATCATGAAGTATATCCGGAGTCTTACATTTGAGGCTCTGACCAGATAGTGCCATGCTACAAAATAGCTTCTTTTGCCCAATACTTTTGACCAAATACACCAACCTTATAAATACAAAAAGTTGTATCAATGTTACGCCAAAAACATCTTCGATTAATGTCTTTTTTATTATTTAGAGCGGCAAACGCAGCGTTTTTCAATATAAGTTTTAGCTGTTTTCATTTTAAATTCAAAATGTCTTTGTACTACAATGCTAGTGGCTGTGGAAAAAAATAACAAAATTTTACAATATGTGTTTCCTTGAAGGTGTTTGTAAATAATGAGCTGTGATGCTGCGAGGATTTGCCAGCAAAACAAATTACTGACTTTGTGCATAAAAAATAATGTATTTTATATTCACTTTTCAAAAAATCTAGGATTTCTTTCAATAACGAGAAAATGCAACTCCCATGGCGAAGGGAACATCATGACGCTGCTCTTCGTAACAAAATAAACAACATTGTGCTGAAAATAGCCTCGTTCCCTTAAAGAGAAAACTTTAGACACACACCTGTGCTTCACATCGACATCAAAAGCCAGAATGTCTTTGTTTTCAGAATTATCTATTAAAACATCCGTCTTTTTTGACGAGCCAAGTGGAATCTGATAAATACGACCATTGCTGTTCACCAAAACAAAGCGAGATGTTTGGTCTGGAAAAGAGATGTATGTGTATATAGCTACAAAAAAAGCATATTCTTTAAAACAGGAGTTATTTATATACAAGTTGACCATATAGAAAATTTCCATTTGTATAGGGTAGTAGTAGTGGTTGGTGTGGCTGTAAGATCGGAGAGTGATAATTTTAGGCTTCTCAGACAATTGTTTAGTTTGGTTGCTAGACTTTAGTGAAAATACATTAGTAGCAGTTGGACTTTGTTTAAGTTTGTGTTAAGTTCAAGTATGTGATTAACATTATGGGAATTTTTCTGCCTGAAAATCTTCGTGATAAAAACTGTTTTTAGATTTTACGTCTTTTGATTTTAGGCCCTGTCAAAGTGTGGGTAAGTGCTTTATACTTTGCCTTATACAATGTAATAACATTTTAAAAATTGCTGCTTGATTTTTGGAACTATATTTATTAGATTATCGTTATTTATTAATTATTTATTAATTTATTAAAGATGGCGGAAAGTTCAGTGGGTGTGTTTTAGGACAGACTAGTTTGACGTAATATACCATTTTTAATCAATGATTTATGTATCTCACTGCAGAGAGTATCAAAAAGGTGGCTCAGGAAACATAGCTAAATTAATCGCATTGCAAAATTTTCAAGAACCTATAGTTGGACATTGGTCCATTTGACTTTAAAATTTTCGCGAGCTCTTTTAGGATGATATCTGATTTATCAAGAAGAACTTTTTGAAAAACCCGCACCAACAAAATGCAAAATTAAAACGCAATTAAAACAAAAATAGTGTTAAAATACATGGCGCAAACATATCGCATTTAGACTAGTAAAGTTTAAGGGGTTTGTCCAAGCCCCATGAACAAATACTTATCTTCCAAATCGTTGGAATCCATTAGACAATTAACTATTGTATAAAAGCTTCGTTTAAGATTATTATCTTAGCATTGAAAGAAAAGTCCATGCTAGAAATCCCAGCGCTTAATGTATAGCAAAATGTTATTCTTATTAGAAGAAATCTCAAATGCGCGGTGAGCTTTTGTGATTTTTTCCCCATGTATAAGAGCGCCTGTCTTATAGCTCTTCACGTTCTTAACAAAAATACAGTTACGATAGATGAACATATGTAAATCAAAGTTTGACACAGTTTTTATGTGATGAACAGTCTTTATAGCTACAAATAAACGATGCATTTGTCACGCAATTTATCCTAATTTTTAAGACACATTTTGCTATTGTGAATGCATGGACAAATATCAGTTGTGTAGACGATTAATATAGCAAAGTAAACAGGTTTTACCATTTTCACAGGTGCGGTTGTCTTCTCTCAAATGTTTTCCTGTCGGACATAAACATCGGAAATCTTGTGTTTTCGAGAGTACACACAAATAACTGCATCCACCGTTGTTCTGACTACAGATATGGAAACCTACAAATCCAAACAAGTCAAAGCAGTAAAATGCTATTCAATTATAACTATTTTCGTCAACTGAAAAGTCCGAATGACCAACTGAATAATATAATTTTGTACCATGCAAATCAAGGCAACAATCTTATTGACTTTTGCTGTCAGAAGCAATACAAAACAAAATAGTTTTTAGCAAGTAATTAGCGACGGCTAGGTTTCTGGACGCTGTCTAACATCGGAGAGAGCTAGGTCCATCACAGATGTCAAATATCACAAATTACCACAGGCTGATACAGCCAATCAAATTGCGATGAGACTATGCTACTAAAAACAAAGAGGTCGGGCAAAGCATCTTAAATTGAGTATAACAAAAATGCATTTTTCATAGTGCTGGCGAACAACCTTTTTACAGATTTGGTATTATGACGTGACTGCTGTCATATATTTATGTAGCAATCAACTATGTGGGTTACAACTTGAATTTAACAAAAATAGATCTTTAAAGCAAAATATTTTTATTGGAACTGCACAAAGTACATTTATTGGGTATTTTATCACAGAGTAAATTGATATAGAACATGATATTTTATCCTATAAAATGCTCCTCTAACCTCCCGCATTTCACCGTAAAAATTTGATGCGTATTTGATTTAGCTGACAACCAAAAATTTTCCAATCATGCAGATTTTAGTTTAGACATATGTAGCTCTGTAAGGTCCCCAATTGCAAAATCTGGTAGAAGTGCTGAAACTACTAACAATTAAAGAGCCTGGCAACTGCACATAAATCTGAACTTTTACCCATGGACAAGTTGAATTCGATTGTACTTGCAATTGTAAATTATTAAGGCAGGATTCGCGCCACTGGCCCCCTTACGAATCAAGCGTTGATAATTTACAGCAGAATTGTTCATATTTTATGCCTAAGACAATCGCAAGCAACGGTATTTTACAAACAAAATAGATTGTATTTAACATTAGCAGCTCAAATCCATTTACCTAACTCTCGATTTTCTACAGAGTGTTTGCATGCATAGAGTAGCTGTTCATGTAGCATTACCTTTTTTTGTTTCGCAAAAACACAGATAATCTGATTGAATCAGAATGAAACTTTCCAACTACTTTAGCTTCGCTCGTGACACTAATATTGACCAGTATAATTCTCTTCAATTTCATATCAGCGCAAAAGATGCTTTCTTTGTAAACTCCAATCGAATAAAGTTGAAGTAATGTGGAATGAAATGAGACTTTTAAACTCTATAATTAAAGTGAATATCATAAAAAATGCTCAAAAAGCATTATATATCTTAAAATATGATGATGGCTTTTTTAGAGTACGTTTTCCAATAGACGCGATATTTCTTATATTCATATTTCTTTAAATTGTCTGCTGGAAAAGGGAATGTCGTATTAGCTAAAACGTAAATACCTTGATAGCGAGATGACTTTAAATTGGTGTAAATATTATTTTATAATTGAAGCTTACGATGGAAAAACTTGATGTTCCGTAACTGCTCTATTTAAGCAGCATATATTAAATATCAACTGTGATGTAGTATCAATAAAATAAACATAGCAAACCTTTCTTTTTCTGGAATTGAGTGATATGTAATTTATAATGTTCCCACCATCCAGCCAATATAAGATTTTGTTTTGTTTATCAAAAGCAAGATCGGTTGGATCTATCAGGTTGCCAGAAACAATCTTTTCGCGGGCATATCCATCCATGCTAGCCCTATTTATGCTGATTCTTGAACCATGTGATGTCCAGTACATAGATCTAAAACAATTACGATGAGCACAAAACTGCTGGTGAGAGTTTATCTTCACGACTTTATTGTTGATATAGATAGGTAAAAAACAAACTATTTTGTCTTTGACTACCTGATCTCTTAACTTTTCAAAACATTTGTCATGTATTTTTCACACTCGTCCTCGATTTGAACAAAAATGATATAGATGAAGATCTTTAAATCAATACAACCTATTTACCTGTTTTCCAAATCCAAAATTAAGTTCTTTGGCTTTACATTTTTCCTCCACAATATAACTGCAGGATTACTACCATCAAGATTGGACACAACAATGTAACCTCTTTCTTCATCACACCAGTATAATTTTAGCGATAACCAATCCATCGCCATGCTAGATAATTTCCTTTTGGTTCGTAACATTATCGTCTTTAGATAAACAAAGAAAAGTTAATCGAGCTTGTCGTGATTCCCAACTATTCTTATCTACTAGAACTTTAACATGTGGTTTAATGTCTCAAAGATAAGAATTAAAGCATTAATATAAATTGGGCTCATCATATATTTACATGTTGTGGGAGCTATCTACAGAGCAGAACAATGTAACAAAGATTACGGCAGAGACAGCTCAAGATTCTTTACCAAATCGCATCGAGCATATTTCGTTTTTCAGAAAATCGTCCTTTGATTTTTAAATTTGAATTTAAATCGGCCATTATTCGATTAATCTTCCAAAATTTACCTCCTTGTAATGTGGTATGGTCTTTCTTTTCCTTACTATAACTGTATCATCTGCAACTTCAGCCCAATACATTTCATCTCTATGTGAGTCCCAGTCAAGTGCTATCACATCAAGAACATTGTCATAGGGTAGAACGCTATCAAACAAATCATTGGTATCCAAAGAGATTTGATGTATCATATAATCCACTCCATAAGCGACAAAATCATTTATTTCTGGAAGAAACAAAACAGAAAACAAATTTTCAAATTAATTTAATAGTGCATTTTTTGTCAGAGAATTTATAATATTTAAATAAAATGTGTCTACTAATGTAAATAATAAATGTAAATTTCATAATCTAACTGCATATTTTCCATAGTGAATAACAAATGGCTTGCATGTGACACATTTGCTTTGATGAAAACCAAAAACCTACTTCTATTTATAATGAAAATGATGAAGAATATATCATCACCGTAAAGCATGGAAGTGACGTTTACAACATGCGGGTTGAGTTAAAGACATAATTCTTTTGACCACAGAGGCAGAGCAATGGATTCCACCAATATGCGATTATAGAGAAAAGTTATCTTACTTTCTGCGCAATGCGTGGCGTTCAATTGCTTGTATCCTGTTGGACATGCACAAGTAATACCAAATGATTGACTCAAGCAAATATGACTACATCCACCATTATTTGTAGAGCATTGGACCATAACGTCTAAATCATAAAAACATTCAGCACTACAAGATGAAATATAGGAGATAAGTCTAAAACATAGTCAAAAATAATTTTTAAAAACTGAGAAATGATTTGTCTCAACAGAATATGAATATTTTTTATGGTTTTGTGAACTCTTTTGAATTTAGGTGTGACGTCATATGTAAAAATGTAAAAATATGTTATAAACACGTTTTCACTTGCTGACAATAAAGAAAATTTTAAGTTTTGTTTGGACAAAATCATAAAAAAAGCGCTATATTTGGGCGGATCCATATAGCTCATTAGTTTTAAATTCACAGTACTTTCAGAGAAACACTATTGGTTTTGAATTTCTGAAGAATATAATTTTATTTATGGTTTGCCTCTAAGAAATGTAGATTTATTGAAAAACGTGTTTTAATAAGTTAATATGATGTACCCTATATCCACCACTGTGCCAAAATGAAAACAAAAGTTTAGTCAGACAGCTGAAACCTCGTTTTAATAAAATTATTATATGATTGAAAGTTGTACCGGCTGAATTATGAGAAGAATTAAATTGCAACTATTACATACGGTAGTAGATTTACTATGTCTTAAAAAGGATAAATTCTATCCAATGTCAAAAGAATAGTTTTGCGGGATAACTTCAGAGAATAAGTCAGAAAGTTTAAGCTTCACAGAGGCTGGATGCTCTAACGAGATAATCCTAAGCATACATTGTTCAAATTCAACTAAAATGGATTTTAGGCGACAGAGATTTTGAATACTGGACAGACCATTACATTCTTTAGAATTGAATATTATTGAAAATCTTTGGAATTACTTCAAGACAGGACTTAATGCTGGAACGCCAAAGAATTTGGCTGAGCTGGAGAAACTCTGCAAGGAGGGATGTGCGGGATTTTCACCTGAGCGAATTTAGAAGCTCGCGTCTATTTCTGTAAAACGCTTTGAGGCTGTTATATCGACCAAAAAAGAAGGAACTCATTATTCACATTAGCTTGTCCTCTTAAGGTTGCAAATATAAGAACTATCATAAGGAGTGTACCTCTTCAAGAAACTAAATAGGTTTGTTCAGTCATACTTATAAGCACGTTGTGCAGTTTGTTTATAAAGATCTGACTTACAATAAGTGAAATGATTAATTTCCTTCCGTTGCCCAAATTTTGCATACAATTGTATATTATTGTTGAAAATTAAACTAAGCTGTATTAAAATAAAATAGGTAAGTGATGATCAAATGTTTAGAAGTGTGATGATCAAATGTTTAGAAGGGGATGAAGAGTAAAAAAGTATAATTCCAAATTAGTATCAACATTGCCCGGATGAGTGCAAACGACTGAACACTTCATTCAAATTTTTAGGACGTTTAACAGTGCCGCTCCTTCTTATGTTTCCAAAAAAATGTTTTTTAAGCCTGTCTATTACTTCTTTAGAAACATCATTAAACTATCAATAGGAAAAATATGAAACAATTTTACATAATTATTGCTAACATATATTTATACAAATATAACAGTATAATCTTACCACCTGGTTGTAGAGATTCATGTATCAGCAAAATTCCAGATGCACTTTTTCCTTTACCAACAAGTGAACTTAAGCCTCCTCCATCAAATTTGCTTGCTCTATAAACAAGATGACCACTACTGTCCGTCCAGAATAGATGATCTTCAAAAATACTAATGGAAAAGGGTCGCACAAAGCCACCTTTAACAACCAGACGAAGACCTTTCCCATCTGCAAATAGCAAAGTAAATAATTCTTGTATCATCGATTACATTGTATATTAAATTCTAAGAACACAACAGAACGCTGCTGATATAAGATCATTTAGCTGGTGCACTAATAACCAAATCATGTTATGGTTTGCACGCGTTTGTCAGGTCAAATTAAGCCCTTAATAACCGAGCTCGAGGTCTTTACGGAGAAATAACGGACCGAGGTCTTTTTGTACAGACCGAGGTCCGATATTTCTCAGTAAAGAGAGGTTACTATATGGCATTATTTGACCTGAAACGAAGCTTGCTTTCTTTCTCGTCCTTGCTGTTTTGTACGGGTTGGCTTTTACTTTTCTAGGGTTCGTCCATAAAAGATAAATCGTTTCAAATTGTATTGTCTTGATAGTTAAACTGTTTTAATAGTTTAACCAATATTTTATTTTTGTGAAGAATTTTAAGATAAAACAAAGGACTAGAACTTAGATCGAATTAGCTTTCACACTGTCTCATGATATGAACTTCTTAGATATCCCAACAAAAATTTCAAAAGTTTTTTAGATGGTGTCTATTTTCAGACAACTTCTAATCGCGTGTTTTTAGTTATGGCAAGTACTTTCAAGGACGAAACTAGAACGCTAGAAATGGGAGAGGAGGGGGGGTGAATATTCACATATCCAGCTATACTCAACTGATTTCTTTTGAAAGCACTCGTATATTTTAATTTAAAATCAGTCGGGAAGTAGTGAATATATATTAATGTTTACAGCACAACCACAACCATCCACCATGCAACTAGCATTCTAGTTTTGGTTCTTGTTAATTTCCCCATTAGCAAAGAACTTTAAAAACATACCTAAATCAGTTAATCCAATCTCACCCTTTTTTGCATCTGCATAAAACAAAAGTTTTAACACATGATCGACAGTGAGTGCATTTGGCCAATAGATATCTTGGTAAATTAGTCGTATGGCATTTGTGCCATCCATATAAGAGCGTGAAATTGATGATTTTGCGTAGTTGTCATTTGTATCCCACTCGGACCAAAATATATAACTAAACACAGAAAAATAATTGAGAATTCTCAATTTTTTCGAACACAATATTTTGCATTTAATTAAACTAACAAACAAAAAAATTCTACCGTATTCAGTGGCGTAGCTAGCGGTCATGCTCAGCATGACTAAAAGTTTCACAAAAATTATTTCATTCTTCTTAGAGTCGCTGTAGATTCTGATGCCTGATTGTTTCTTATTTACATATAATTATTTGGGACGAAGGTCAACTAATGAATTGCATTTTGCGCCTTATTTTAGTATTCCATCACGTTTTACCTTGCTGCCAAGCAACAGCTCAAACTAGAACTTATTCTACGCTTACAAACGCGACTTGGTCATGCTCTCAAAAATATGCATGACCAAGTAATATATTTTATACGGAAATTTTTACTCATCTGATTGGGTAAGAGCATCTGAGCATGCTCAAACGCTAAATTTTACGTCATCTGGCCATGCTGATTTTGAAATTTTTGAATGACCAAACTTAATCCCACGAGTAATTTTGTCTATGTGCGAGATTCGTGTTTGTAGTTCGTGTACATTCAAAACATTACAAAACATAATCTTTATAATCCATCATTTATTTTCATATATATATATATATATAAGATAAAAAGTTTCTCCGGATTTTAAATAACTTTTTATTGAGCTTTCGACTTGTTTCTTCGAGCCTTCATCAGAATGAGAGTATTATATATTTACACGTGCTTTTAGCTTGTAGACGCTTAGAGCGTCTAATTGGATTAGCGGGTGGATTTATGCGATTGGATGGGGTGAAATGCGTTGCCATGGGTTTTGGTGTATTGTGAATATGATTGGTGTTAATAATATTAGAGTGTAGTGTTGTAGTTTTGGTGTTGTTTGTAGTTTTTTTGTCCTTTTTCTTTAGTTGTGAGTATATGATGGGTATGTCATCAACATACCCATATAAGCAACATCCGCATATAGAACCAAACGACACCACGAACTTCATCGACAATTACAAGAATCCAGATCTTACAAACCACTCCATCCCAACACAAACGAATTTGTCACAAACATCTCGAACAAACAACTAACCGAACAGCAAACTAAAATTTTAAACAATGGATTAAATTACAACTTTAAAGACGCGAACAATCTTGAATACGTTGCCGACCTGGAATCCGCTTTAAAGTACACCAACTTAACAGACCAAACGAAAGAAGACATTCGTCACAAAATCACAAATAACCTCTACCACAAACCACCTGTCACCATAAACTACGAAGAACTACGAGCAATTAAAAACCTACAAAACGACGACCAAATAATCATATTACGAGATGACAAAGGACGCAAAACAGTTATCATGGACAGATCAGAATACATCGACAAAGCCAAAACCCTCCTAAAAGACACCACCACCTACGAACTTCTCCACGCAGACCCCAGCAAAACGACTACCAACCGCATCAACCAGAAACTGAAACAACTAAAAGACAAAAAGAGACTAAACGAAAACGACTACAGAAGAATCCGACCCAACGACGCATCCGCCACCAAATTCTACGGAATACCAAAAATCACAAAGAAAACAACCCACTTCGATCTATCGTATCGCTTCCAGGATCACCTACGTATGAACTTTCAAGATATCTTTAAAACATTCTCTATCCATTCGTCAAAAATTCACTTCACACCATCAGAAATGCCACCACTTTCCTCGCCAGTATTGAAAACGTTAAACTACGACCAGACAAAATCATGATATCCTACGACGTGACATCACTCTTCACATCAATACCACTGTCATGTCATGTCAAGTCAGTCCCGTGACATTTTCATGTCGTAGGGGTGTCATAATAGAGACTGCAGTCAGGGATCTCCATTGTCTTCGGTCTTCTATCATTCTCAGCAATTTGCTTAGTGTGTGTCCAGTCCATTCTTTAACATTGTCGAACCAGGTTTTTCGTTGACGGCCTCTTCTACATCCTCCTTCTACGGTTCCCTGGAGTATGGTCTTAGCCATGGAGTTGTGGCGATTAACATGGCCAAACCATGCAAGTTTCCGTTGCTTTACAATGGCTAGTAGCTGTTGTTGTTTGCCTGCAGCATCATCAATTTGTTGCTTGACATACTGGTTGGTCTTGTGCTCTGAGTAATGGATGCCTAGTAGTTTTCTGTAGCACTTGTTCTCAAATGCCTGGATCCGCCTTTCAGTTTTTGCATTCAACGTCCAGCTTTCACATCCATATAAGAGGATGGAAATCACCAGTGATTTGTACAACTTGATCTTAACAGGGAGGCTGATGTTTGTGCTCTTCCAGATGGTGCCGAGTCTAGTCATTGCTGCTGTAGCTGTGCCAATTCTGATGTTGAATATCTGCTCGACTGTGCTTCTATTAGGTCTGAATCCTGCTTGTTCTTCTGTAAGTATTTCTTCAACCTGTTTCTTCAGTCTATTTAGTACAACCCGAAGCATGACTTTACTTGGGTGGCTGATCAAGCTGATTGTTCTGTAATTCTGGCACTGTTTGAGATTGCCTTTTTTGGGTAGGGGTATGATCAAAGACTGAGTCGACTCTTTTGGCCATTGCTTCTTTTCCCAGATCCTTTGGCAGATGGTGTTTAGAGCCTTTACAAGTTCTGGGCCTCCATGCTTCAGAAGTTCTGCAGGTATATTGTCTGCTCCTGGTGACTTGCCTCCTTTCAATGCATGTAGTGCTGCCTCGACTTCTTCCTGAAGAATTGGTGCATCTCCATTCTCCCTGTTTGTGTTGGGTGTTTTGGTTAGAAAGCTGGTATCTGGTCTCAAGTTGTAGTTGTACAACTCCGGACAGTATTCTGTTAACCTTCTAAGGAGTGCTGTTCCGTCGGTAAGAAGTGAGCCGTTTTTGTCTTCGATCACCGAGGATCTTGCTTGTTGTTTCCCTGTTAGCATCTTGAGAGTGTCATATGCAATCTTGCTGTTATCATTTCTCAGGCCTCTTTCTAGGATGTTACACTGTTCAGCAATCCAATTCTCTTTAGCCTTCTTCATTTCGTTTCTAATGTCTTTGTTGACTTTGGCATACTTCTGAGCGGCGGATGTATCTGTTGTCTTCTTCCTCTTTAGCTCTCTTCTGTTGTCACATAGATCCAGGATGTCATTTGTGACCCAAGGCTTCTTCTTTTTCCTTCTCTTCCCAAGTACCTCTGTTGCTGTTTCTTGTAGCACTTCTTTCACATTGTCTGTGAGGTTGTTGATGTCATCTTCCAACAGATTGAGCACAGCAAATTTCCCTCCCATTGTTGCCTTGAACGCGACGGCAATTGTTGGATCCTTAAATTTTTCTAGGTCGAATCTTATACGGGCGCAGTTAGGCTTGTAGTTCTTCTTTAGTCTGAGTCTTAGAGTCAGCAGCACCATGTCATGATCACTACCAATGTCTGCTCCAGGGAAGGTTCTGGTCTTGGCTTTGTTAATGCTGGATTTGAATCTGCAGGAGAAGAGAATGAAATCGATCTGGTTGTGGGTCTTGTTGTCAGGTGAATGCCATGTTGCTTTTCTGGATGTCTTATGCGGAAACAGTGTGTTGGCTAGGGTCATCTTGTAACCTTGGCAAGTTCTAGCAGTCTTAGTCCACGATCATTGGTCTCTCCCAATCCAAAGCGTCCAACTGTACCAGGCCATTGGTCATATGCATCCTCGCCTACTTTGGCATTCCAATCTCCCATGACAATCAGCAGGTCTTTTTTAGGAATGGACTTGATGGTCCTGTCCAGTTCTTCATAGAAATCTTCTACTGTCTCGTCGTCATTGTCAGAGGTCAGGGCGTAGACTTGGACTAGAGAAGACTTCGCAGAAGCCGTCATGCAACACCTCGAAACACAATCAGTCACAAACAACACAAACATCAGACTATGGAAAAGATGTGTCGACGACATCTTTGCCATAGTCAAGAAAGACAAAACTGAACAAATCCTACACACCATAAAAAATACCACAAAGAACCTTACCTTTACTAAAGACGAAGAGCACGACAAACAACTTACCTTCCTCGACATCCTACTAACCAGAACAGATGACGGTACACTAAACACACAAGTATACCGCAAAACCACCCACACAGACCAAATACTCGATTTCAACAGCAATCATCCAACACAACACAAAATAAGCTGCATTCGAACACTTTTCAGCAGGATAAACACTCATTGTAATACTGAAGAAGCCAAAAAAACAGAACGCAACTACTTATACTCCACATTTACTAAAAACAATTACCCTAGAAACTTCATAAACAAAACTATATACAAAATACAAAACAAAACACAAACCGACAAAAGCAACAAAAAGCCTAACGAAACAGTAAAAATCGTCACATTACCATACATAAACGGAACATCAGAAATGACTGCCAGACTTCTTCGACCATTTAATATTAACGCCGCCCACAAACCTGCACAAAAACTCAAACCATGTTTCACCAAACATAAAGACAAAACAACAATTCATGATACAACTGACGCGATATACATGATACCATGTAAAGACTGTTCAAAGCAATACATAGGACAAACATCAAAGAAAATTGAAACAAGACTCACAGAACACAAAAACGCCATAAAACGACGAGATCCGAACTCACTACCGGCAGAACATACCCACGGAAACAACCACACATTCGACTGGAAAGAAACTAAAGTACTCGGACGCGCACAGACTAAACACGCACGAGAATTTAAAGAAGCTTGGTACAGTAAAGACAACGACACAATAAACAGACATATCGACATACCCATCATATACTCACAACTAAAGAAAAAGGACAAAAAAACTACAAACAACACCTAAACTACAACACTACACTCTAATATTATTAACACCAATCATATTCACAATGCACCAAAACCCATGGCCACGCATTTCACCCCATCCAATCACATTAATCCACCCGCTAATCCAATTAGACGCTCTAAGCGTCTCCAAGCTAAAAGCACGTGTAAATAAATAATATCCTCATTCTGATGAAGGCTCGAAGCAACGAGTCGAAAGCTCAATAAAAATCACTTAAAATCCGGAGAAACTTTTATCTTTTATGTATACATATGTATATATATGCTGCCAAAGCAGATATCGGCTAGACTTCAGTTTAGCGGACACCCAAAGCGCTTGTATGGGAAGCGCAAGCTCGTTTTCGATTAGGATTATAGGGTTAGAGTTTGGGTCAGCGTCCAAGGTTTCCGCTGAACATCAGTAGTCCCCAGATATCATCGGTTATTTGCCGTTAAAGCTTAAATATCCTCATAAACCAAAGGCCAATGCCGAAATTGTAAACAACATTGAGTGTTGGAAGCCTTCGGTAGAGTTGATACACAAAGAAAAATAGGCTTTATGGAAGAGCAAAGTCAAGATAGCATTGCAAGGCCAGTGATTTTGCTGTCCCTGTCTACTGTTCATGGGATTCAAGGATTTCTCTTCACGTCATGGACAATTAAATTTAAGAAACTAAAGACCAATTCGTACTTGGTAATTTGTAAATTTATACTTCGTGCAAAGAATTTCGCTCTGTCTTAATGTGAACTCTCTTGTATCACAATCGCAACGTGAAGACATTAAAATTTAAAATAAAATGAAAGAGGTAAGGGAAAATAGAGCAATCGTCAAAACTTTTACTGCTGTTTTATATCCAAACAGATATAATTGTATTGGTCATGACTACTCAAATGATAGCATAAATAGAGAATTTTAAAGAGCTTCTTGAGAGCTTTGCTCTGGTCGATTTTGTCTTTGGAAGGTATTTGCATCATAGCCTTGATTGGATGCATATTCGGCTAATGTATCACCAGACATGTTAAATGATTTGATTTGTTGACTTGATTTGATTATAGAAGATAAAATTTTGAAGAATACAGATGATTGCTCTTCGTAATTATTTAGGTTGATAAAAAAACTGATGTTTCCACTAAAAAGAAATTAAGTATTATTTGCACAAATAAGATGAGAAGTATCATTGAAAGGCGGCATGGATTTGCAGCTGTCAGTTGCAATACAACTGCAACTGCTATATAAGTGCCTCTGAGGTTACTATGCTTATTCAAGTTACCTTTTGCCAATGCTGATATAGCAGTTGCAGTTCTATTGCAAGTAACCTATACAAATCCAAGCTGCATTTCAATGATACTTCACTTTTTATTCATGCAAACAATTATACTTATTTGCTTTTGGTTGGAAACATCAGTTGTCTTATCAACCCAAATACATGCAAAAGTGAATTATCCATCACGCATTTACTCGAGTTTGCTCATGTTGTTCATTCTGCTGCCCATAGCCTTAGGCTTGTATTGTCGCAGAAGTGGAAGTTTAGACATAACTCTAACTATCAGAAACAAATAGCAATAACATTTCTGTAGGGTATATGAGGTTTAGAAGGTTCACTTTTAAAGTTGGTTATGGTAGGAAAAATTCGAGTAAGTTTAATATTTACTGAGAAATTACCATACATCAGCTATGGTCAAATGCCAATTTTGCAATAACGAATTGTCAATTACTTGAAATAACGAACAATTGTGAGAGTGAGTGTGGTTTTTCGTCTTATATGATTTTTCCTTGAAAATATGAAATTCGAACGCTTCCAAAATAATTTATTAATTTATGCAAAATTTGCATTCGACCATAGCTGATAAATAGTAACTTTTTCAGTAAATATTGAACTTTTCCAAAATTTTCTTTCTATAACCACCCCTAAAAGTGAACCTTCTCAAAACCATTAACACTACAAAATTGTTATTACTATTTGTTTCTGGAAGTTGGAGTTAAAAATGCCGTTTTAGGGAGATCTCAATTTTAGGACTTTCGTCCAGTATTGAGGAAATGACACATATGCCATGTTGTTCGTCATGTTCATTTTAACAAAAAAACGGTTGAGATTACTTCCGGTAAGTGAAATTAGTACAAACTCTTATACAGGTCCTTGGCTGAACCGTTAAAAATGATTAAAAGCCAATCAAAACATGCTATTTCACCAGAATTGACATTTGGCACATATTAACATGCTTCAAAGAGTCAATTGCTGTAATTTAGAGTGAACGCACTAAATATGATTTTCCTGCTTTTTACTGCAATGCTTAATAATTATTTAATGCGTGTGAAATTTAGATCACATGCCTTAGTTTATTCACATTTATATCAAGAACAAGCACAAACCCCTTGATTGGATACACTGCAACAGCTCTCAAAATACCAAGTGGTTGCCAATATATAACCTTTCGATTCGTGCCATTGAAGTTTGAAATTTCTATGCGGTTGGTTCCCGAATCAGACCAAATAAGTATTCGATCTAACCAATTAACAGCTAAGCCACCTGAAATATAAATTGTATAATAATGACGGCATGCAATGAAATCTCAAAAGAGTGTTGTTTGCATGCATGCAAAGAACTGATCGAAATAGCACTGACAATACAAAAAACGTATCTGTCAGCAGGAAATAAGGAAGAGATGCAAGAATTAAGCAATGAGCATAAAATGAGAAGATTCACCATTGGAGACATGATTCAAAAGAGAAAAGTAAACAATTTGCAGCTTCAAGAAACTAAGTGGGCAGGTCACAGACATAGAAGTTTAGAATAGTGTCTGGTCATGCAGTGGCGAAGCCAGATGTCTTGTTTGTGCTGCTGGGCTTGACATAAAAAATTTATAAGAATGATTTTTCATTCTCGCATTTTCTTTAAAGGTTATATAGCATTAAAAATATTTGACATAATTCTTCATTTACAATAATTTCCGAAGTTTTTTTATAAAAAAGATCACCTATTTTCAATATACTTCGCAACAATGACAGAGCAATTGTCAAAGAAGAGTAAGCCTGCGTGTCAACATGACTGCCTTTTAAAAGCAGGAAAAATGAGTGGCCTGCCCGAAGTTACTCCTGCTCTATTCAGGCGAGCAGGACAAAATAAAATTCTAGTGAGTTTCATTTAAGGAATAAAAGATGTTTACTGTGTTTGCACAGGCTTATGCAAACCGAGGAGACCTCTGGGAAAACTCGAGAGCAGATCAGTTCAAGCCCAAGACCGACGGTCGAGGGTAGCACATGCTCGAAAGTTCTCACAAACGTCTCCGAGGTTTGCATAAGCCAGTGCAAACACGAAAAACATCTTTTATTTCTTTTATAAAATAAAAGTAATACGAAAAAGACAAAAATTTTTAGTTTTTCTTCTAAAATGTATTCATGATCGATTTGCAAATTCTCTTTGACTGATTGATTGTTATAATTGATTTGATTGGTTGAGCTCAGATGTGTTTTGCACAGGCTAATGCAAACACAGCTCTAGACAAATCAGCGTACGCGTTTCATTGTGTTTATTTTATAATTAAGAAATATTTACTTGTAAAGATATTTACTTGTAAATAAAAGATATTTACTACGATGTTTGCACAGGCTTATGTAAACCGAGGAGACCTTTGGCTGAACTCGAGAGCAGATCAGTTCAAGCCCAAGACAAAAGGTTGAGGGTTGCATATGCTCGAACAAGGACTGGTTATGTGCTAGCAAAGTTAGGAGAAGTCTATTTTGCTGACCTTGTTTACTTTTTAATTCTAAATCCAATATTTCGAATAATACAGGCTATATGAATATGCATAGCTTCTTAAGTGACTGCCAGAAGCATGCAAAGGCAAAGTCAAATATGGAGTCCTATACGACTTGGAGAAAATTTAGTAAAGATGACAACGAAAGCATTGATGTTATGTTTTCTCGGGCGAGAATGGAAGCTGTGGAAACATATAATGAGGGTGTTATTCAAAATAGGGAAATGCTAAAGAATCTAACTGAAGCTCTTTTGTATTTGGCAAGACAGGAGCTGTCATTTAGGGGGCATGATGAGTCAAGTAAAAGTCTTAACAGAGAGGAATTATAGAAAGCCTTTGCAATCTTATTGCAAACTCGATTCAGTTTTTGATAGACGCCTAAATGGTAAATTAGAACCCGCTGAAAGGCCACATTCTGGTTGGGTATTTTCTGGGCTATCATCAGATGGGCAAAATGATCTAATTGATGGCTTAGATGACATTATTCAAGATGAGATTAATAATGAGATAAGTGATTGTCAGTTCATCAGTATTCAATATGATGAGACATTGGATGTTTCAAGTAAGGAGCAACTCAGTATTATTGTCCGGCCTGACCGAAGAGAAGAGATTGTAGAACGGTTTTTCAAATTTCTTAATGTTAGCTCTGGAAATCTTTTCTTTTCTGTTTTATTCTTGAAATATATTACAATATTTTGCAGCAGTAATCTATTGTTTGTGAAATTCTTTAAACTAGGTCTGTACATTTTTCTTATGCAATTAATAAGATACATGATTTTAAAAAGTATCTTTCTAATTATTTGCGTACTGATGTTGCATTTGATAGATATTACACCAGCACTTTAGAGAAAACCAAAGGCATAATTTAAAGAAGATCTGAGCAAAAATCACTTCCATGAAGTTGAGAGCTTTTCTTTTTTTCATTTGGTAAATTCTAAGTTGTTTGCACAGTGGGCTGATGGTGCACAAGTAGCTAAGATTAATCAGTTAGATGATAAGTATGGCCGCTTGTTTAATGTGCCAAATCTACAAAATCACTGACGTTTATTTATAAGGATAAAAATTTCCACAAGAAAAACCCAATGGAGCTTTTAAACTATATCTATGCAGTTAATGCAAAAACTTTTTTTCCTGAGGTGGTCAAATTGCTAAAACTCAATGGTGTGATGGCAGTGTCTAGTGCTTCAGTGGAGAAGTCATTCTCATGCTTAACTAGGGTAAAATCATATCTTTGTAGCACTATGGCTGACTCCCGTCTAGGCTCTTTAGGTAGAATATCAATACATAAAGATATATCAAATGCTAAAGAAGATCAAAAATCGCTTCATAAATTACTTTTAGCAAAGTTTGTAAAAAACCCACGGAGATGAAATTTCGATTTCAAATGAAGTAAAGAAAATTAAGACCATTCAACATTTATTTAATTTCTATAAGCTAAGTAAAATATACATCTTTGTTGACCAGCCTTAACCCTTCTTTCTCAGCGTGGCTAAATGGCAACATCTAGAAACCATCCAAAACTCAAAGGTCCAAAAAACATGGGACGTAAACGGTTCAATGCAATTTATTTTATTGGAAAGCTGTCCATGTTGGATTCATTTGCAACTTTAAGATGCACGTTTCCTAGGCATGCTGACGAGCCCTGATATTGGGCGAAACAGCAATGTTGAGTTAAATAGCTTTTATTTGAAAATTAGGCTCGTAAATTGCAATTTTACTTGCTCAAATCGGCTGATAAATTTCACTTTTTTCCCCTAAAAATGCACGAAATGGCCGATTTGGACTCCTTATATTCAAAATTTTTACTCGGGGGAGCATGCCCTCGGACCCCCTAGCGCCTCGCTCCTTCAGCGCTTGCGTTACAGTATAAGCAGGATTAGATCGCGTTACAGTATAAGCAGGAGTAGAAAGCTTTATCCTGGCTTCGCCACTTGTCTAATGTATATGCGCTAAGCAGAGAAGGCAAGTGCACTGCAAATTAGCAAATTTTGTCCTATTTCAAAAAAACTCATTTGCTTCAATATTTTAATTCATTTGTTTCATTTGTCAACAAATCCTTTATCATAAAAAATGTTGTTCTTTTCCATTTATTTTACATGGCGATATGCTTAGTTTGAAAACATGTTTGTTAGAGAACTGCAGTAACGAATTACAAATGAAACTTAAGGATGGAAGAATACGAAATTTTAAAGCAAAAAGGACATTTTCTTCATGAACTGTCAGTTCGATAAAGCACGTCTAACATATTTATACAAAAAGAAGAAACAGGATTATAATCTATGAAATAATTCTACTCACAAGGACGTACTAGACCATGGCTTATGACGTTTTTGACAGCTGAACCATTGAAATTTGCGGACATAATTCTTTTCAATACAGTATCAGCCCAAAATATTAAACTTCCCTCGAACGAAAAATCCATTGCTGCAGCATTTTCCATTCCATTAATAAACACACTGTCTTTCTCACCGGAGTCTCGATATGGTGTTATTGTGATATCTTTATGGTAACTTAGCGCAATAAGAGGATGAGATCCTACAAAGTAAGCTGCAATTAACAAACTTCAGGTTCTGGGTGTCAACGGACAATGGTTAACAGTATAAAAAAACAAAATAAATTGAGGAGAGAATATTTGCTATATAAAATAAACATTATTCTATTATGAATTATTCCATTATGCAGATGATAATTTTACCCTTTTAGAATAGATAAATGTTGATAATTCTTAAAGTGAACGTTGAGATCAAATGAAAAAATGACTTTAAGTATGAGACAAATTTTTAAAAACTGTATTTTTTACTACTGCCCAAGACAATTATCTTTTTTAAGAACGGGGCAATGTACAGTGTTGTTTTAATGTACAGAGATGTTTGCTGTGTTTGCACAGGCTTGTGCTTACCGAGAAGACGTTTGGGAGAACTCGAGAGCAGATCAGCTTAAGCACGAAACCGAAGATCGTGGATTTGCAACAGCTTGAAACATCTCACAAACGTTTTCGAGGTTTTCACAAGCCATAGAGTTCAAACACGAAGAACATCTTTCATTTAGATACTTTATATAATAACAACAATGCAAAACCGACAAATTTAAAACAGTTGTTTTCATTTTTCTTCTAACATGTATTTGTAATTGATTTGCATATTCTCTTTAATTAATCCATTAGTTTAATCGGTTGAGTTCAGATCGGTTTGGACAGGCTAATGCAAGCACAGTTACCAATCAAATCACGCATTTTATTGTTTTATTTATAATATGTTATAATATGTTGTAAGTTTTTTAGAAAATGTATTTGAGAAGTAATACATCAGAATTAAATGAAAGGGTTGAGATGCGTGACTTTATTACTGTCTTAAATGAAATATCTTCTGAAACTGTAACGGATTTATTTTTTGACAAATATGCTTGTATTATAAGCTACATTTTTTACTTTTGCTTATATTCTTTCCCTTATTGAGCAAATCACAATTATATTGTGCATGAAATAACTTCACTAATGATCATGCAACTTTAGTCTACAGCGATCGAATTTCTTTGTTAAAAATAAACGTAAACTCTATATAAAATTCAGTATATCAGAAATACCTTCAGCTTTACATTTACGTCCGTCTGATTGCAAAATAAATCCATTGACACACGAACAGTTATACGTTCCTGTGTAAAACAAAAACTTTATAAATTAAATGATTTATCAAAGTTTAAAAAATACCATATCAAACTATTTACCGTAACCATTAAAACAAATTTGACTGCAAAATCCCATTATCTGGCATTCGTTGACATCTGAAAGATCGTTAATATTAAATTACAGTAAGACATATAGTAAATTACATAACTTGACTTATGAATTAAAAAAAGACAACAAACACCCACTGTTTATATTTTTAATTATTTTTTTCATTTTTATTCAATTTAAACTCACCTTCACAACGCTTTGGATCAGTTGCATCAACCTTAAATCCTTCAAAACAAGAGCAGGTGTAACGTGTTTCTTGGTCCAGACATATCTGGTGACACCCACCTTTGTTAACTCCGCACGATGTCTGATTTACAGTTGACGCTAAAATGAACACGATGGTTTACAAAGTTGAACCCCATGGGCCGTATGATGAAACATTATGCTCCTTGAGTGTTAAAATTTCACTTGTTCAGTAAAGCAACATCTCACATACCTCTTCATACCAGATTAATAGATGCAAAAATTTCACAAAAAACCTACTTTTTTTGATACTTGGAAAATTTCAAACTTTGCAAATCCACACAAATTTATTGCAGGTAATTAATTGTTCGTCATGGTTACTGACATCTTTGTCAGTAATAATTGCGAGTGTCTTTGGTTTCATCCAGTGACGTACCAGAATCGTTAATTTGTGGGGCAAAAATTCATATAAGCATGTTTTAATATGATTTTAATCCGTTCAAACAATAGATTTCAAAGGAACTTAATGTGGCAGAGCATAAATATATAAATATGTGCCCCCTCCCAATAAATGACTCTGCAACTGGTTTCATCCTTTACGCAATGATTTTAAGTCAGTAATTCGTAACTAAAACAAGAACACTCACGGCATCCTTCTTCATCTGAACCATCTGTGCAATCTTTTCTGCCATCACAAACTTGATCAAATAAGACACATTGATCGTTCCAACAACGATATTGTGTATGAGGACAATAAGAAAACGTTTTATTGCTATCAATCAATTTGCCTAAAATAAATAATAGGAATTATCTCATAAACACGGATTCAAACAAATGTGACAAAGCAAAAAAATCTGCGGAAAAATCCTTTTTAGAATACCAATTGTTTTTTCGACATTTTTATTATTTTTTATAGTGTTTTTTTCAAAAGTCTTCTCAAAATACTCTTAGATTTTGGCTGGCACTGCATTTACCCAGACATTTAATCATATTTACTGATCATATTTCCTTATATCATTATCGCACCATTTTCTATACTTGACAATTACAAAATAAATATGCTTTTGTTATAAATATTTTACGCATTTAGAAATATTGACTCACTGCTACAATTTAACTCATCTGATCCATCAACACAATCAAGATCACCGTCACAAGCCCAATTTGATTGTAAACAGTTTCCGGATTTGCACTGGAACTGCGTCTTTAAGTTACAATCAACTCTTACCAAACCTAAATAGAATATTTATGTGAATGATTTTAACTTATATGTAAAGTTGTTTGAAAATCAATTAATATAGTTCTCGCTGTAAGCCTTGTTAACACTAAAGATTTAGCAAAAGATCACACATTTATCAAAACAGGATTCTCTGACTGAAAAATGTCAATAAAAAAGGAAATGGATTGAGATGTATAAAAAGTCTCAAGTACACAAACAAGCATGGGCAACGTGAAAAAAGAGAGCATTTTGTAAAAAACGTGCTTTCACTATTCAAAATCTTCTTTAAACTTTGTAACCTCAAAATTTATCATCGTGTTTTTTGATTGCATTGTAAAGACAATTATAACTTCCTCAAAAAATTCTGTTGTTTTTTTTGTTTTCTTCGATATGCAAATTAAATCGTTACGACATCACATTGTATAATTAGCATTAGGACAAACTAATTTTTGAACACAATTAGAATTAAAGTATCTAAATTAGTTATGTTTAAAATATTTATTTACACACGTGTTCATTAAACTGCTGTCTTTGTTTATAAAACATTCAAACGATGTAAAAAATAGATGATCTTTTAGATGTCATTATGCTTACTGATGTCATAACGATGTCAATCTCATAAAGAAAAAAGTTAAATATTTTTAGAAAAAATACAATATCTCCATTCTACTAAATTATCGTTATCAACTCATTTTATATGTTCTTTCTATTTAAACAAAAAAATTGTTGATAAAATTTCAACAGAAGATAAAATATGGACAAAAACAGTTTTCAATACTTCATACTACCTATAGCTAAACAGTCTATGTTTCTTAAAAAAAAAAGAAACTAAAACACTCAAATGCAAACTTGTGGTTAGTAGCTACATTGTCAAGTAAAAGCTAATGTTATTGAAAAGTCCATGAAATAAAAATTGTTTATTTATAATGAATTTAATTAAAAATTCTTGAGAATCACCAGGCGACATATTTCAACACATAGATACAAAATTTTTTTTACCACAATCTATTTCATCTGACTTGTCTCGGCAATCGCTGTCTCCATCACATCTGTGACTTTCTGGAATGCAATCACCACTTCCACACTTCCATCGTCCAGAAACACAAGGTTGAGACGCTAGAAATAAATAAATTTAAGTGTTTTTATCGTGCATTGTATCCGTATTACAGACTAAGTTTATACCTCCCATAAGTTATAAAAACTCTTTAAAAATCCCTACTTAAAATAATATTTGTGAATCACAGAAGAAAAATTAAATATTTTTGTAGAATTATTTCAAACTATTTAGGATTAATAGCTTACTACAGTTTGCTTCGTCGTTTTTATTCCAACAATCTGGTTCGTCGTCACATCTCCAACGGATTGGAATGCATTGTCGTGTATCACAAAGAAATTTATCATCCTTGCAACGAACGTTAACGCCTACAAACCAAAATGTCTCTTATATTGTTTTCAAAAATTAATCTTAACTTACTTCCAATCAAACAGGTTATAATCTCATCATGCAAGAAGAAAAAATCAAGAGCTAAGAATTATTTATCTCATCGCAGAAGCTTTTAAAATGAGGGAAAGACTAATCACGTTGTATTTGTTATATGTAGTTGTATACTAGTGCGCTCATTGTCGGATCTAGAGCTCGTCGAAATAAATTACTGCAGCACATTTTGGCGTATATTTACATTTCTTAAAACCTTAGAGGTCAAACCATTGGTAAGATTATATTTTTTAAAAATTAAAAACTAATAGTAATTTTCAAAATGTTATTTGAATTTAAAATTGAGGAGCAATAATTTATTTTGACGTACACTGGATACGCTACAGAGTGCGCTTACTTTTTGCGGCAACCTTTCCGTCACCATTAGAGTAAGAAGTTTTTCATTTACTATATAAGTTTTGATTGAAAATGTTTGTAAAGCCAATGCAATTGGCTCGTTGCGTTGTATGTATCAGGCTTAGTGAAGAATTTGCAGCAGCAAATCTAAGTAAATTTGTCGTAAATATTTTCAGACAGAAAGTCGTGAATATTTCTGAATGAATTCTATAAAGTCTGTCTCCATTACTTAGAGAAGCAGTGTGTTTATATTTTTGTATTCTACACCGAACAGTAAAAACACTTCGTTATAATCATAAAAAATGACTTGAACTAGGAATTATGCTCTTGTATAGAAAAAATACTTTTCCTTCAAAAGACTGAAGAGGAAAAACAGCACTCTTACCACAAGAGTCTTCATCGGAAGAATCTTGACAGTCTTTGTCACCATCGCAAACGTAACTTTCATCAATGCAGAACCCATTTCGACATTGATATTGGTTACTTGTGCACTCACTTTGGTCTAAAAAGAGAAAAAATATTTTTTTAACAAGACGTAGAAATTGGGTGATAGATTTTGACAATTTGATCAACAAAAAATGATCAACAAAAAATAATCAACAAAAAATCTTTACCAAGAAATACTTTGCACATGTCAGTATACAAGCTAAGAAAGTAGTGGGAATTTATTTAAATTTACTAAAAATTAAAAGTTATGATCAATTCACCGCAAAATTTATTATTCGTCAAATGAAATGAAAACTTTTTCAAATCACATTCATATTTAGCTTCAGTTTATGATGCCCCAGCAGTATTACTAATTTTTCATTTACCATATGTATGTTTTTGTGTTTTATAGGTCTTTTTCTCGAAAATGCTTATCCAATTTATCATTTGTATATCAAAATACAATTACTCATTGAACTATAAATGTGAAAATGTGCACAGCTATAATTAAACAGGCAATTATGTTCACGCTTTTTTGCTTTTTCAACCAGTCATTAATCGGGTATTTCTGAAGATTTTACATTAAACTCGCTAGAAATATTATTTTGCACCTCTTATTTTAATTGCAAAATACAAAATTGAGAGACTGGTTTTCAGAGGCGTAGCTAGCAAAAATTAATTGGTGATTCTCTTTTGCAACCTCACTAGGCGCCATCATGCTAGGGTCGAGCGATAAAATTTTTAAAATTTAGACCATTTACGACCACCAAAACAACAACATTTACCCAACCAGTTGAAGTTTAAGTAATCCTTAAAATCTACAAAAAAATGTTTTTAAAAACAGTATTCAATATCTACGTTAACTATAATTAGTACTATACGAAGTAATCCACTTTCGCCCTTTAACATTACAACAATTATCTATGTTCTGTTTGACTGCATGAAGACAATAAAAACTATGTAACTTTTATGATGGGAAAGGCAAACTAACAATAATATAAAAAATGAATAAAAGAAAGTTTATTGTCTGAACGATAGTTAGATTATTGGATAGATTTTAGATAATGAAATAAATAAAAAAAACATGAATCTTTCTGACATTTATCATGCAGCATTAATGATAGAAGCTTTATAACACCATCTTCAGTCGCCAGGATAAGAAAACTCAATTATGTGGAAGTAAGAAAGGCCTTTTTGTTGGAGTATTAATTGTTTCTAAAAAAGTGGAAACACAAACAAAGAAAATATTGGCAAAGAAAATATTCACAAGTAAAGTTGAGGTTGCAGTTTGCCACAATACAAGAAGAAGGCTATAGGCAGCACCCTGAACAACATGAGCAAACTCGAGTAATGTAAAAGGAGTTTATTGGTTGTCTTCATAAGATAATCAAACTTTAAGCGTTATGGATAATTCACTTTTGTATGTATTCAGGTTGATAAGACAACTGATATTTCCAACAAAGAGCAATTAAGTATGATTGTTTGCATGGATTAAGTTTGGTCATTAAAAAATTTCAAAATCAGCATGACCAGATGACGTAAAATGTCGCGTTTGAGCATACTCAGATGCTCTTACCCAATCAGATTAGCAAAAATTTCTCTATAAAATATATTACTTGGTCATGCTTATTTTTGAGAGCATGACCAAGTTGCGTTTGTAAGCGGAGAATAAGTTCTAGTTTAAGCTGTTGCCTGGCAGCAAGGTAAAACGTAATGGAATACTAAAATAAGACGCAAAATGCAATTCATTTGTTGACCTTCGTCCCAAATACTTATATGTAAATAAGAAACAATCAGGCATCAGAATATACAATGACACTAATAAGAATGAAATAATTTTTGTGGAAATTCTTAATCATGCTGAGCATGCTGAGCAGTGGCTAGCTACGCCACTGCTGGTTTGTTTCCAAAAAGCCTTGATTTTCTCATTGAGTCAGGCACGTGCATAGACTGTGTTTATTTCAACCTAAATTTTCGAACATTAAATTGAATATAAGTGGACCCTCAGATTTTTTCGATGAAGCCAAACATTGCAGGACTATACCTGCAGACACTCAACGGCTGTTGCGACTTGTAAAGGACGAAAATTTTAAATTTTATTTTTTGATGCTGTAGTGTACAATTTGAAATTTAAAGGGAGCTTTTGTAAAATTTTGTGGTTGAAGTTTGCGATTGGGTTTTTTAAATGAACAATGCTTTCATATTTTAAAGACTAAAATTTTATAGAAAAACCATTGCAAATACTAACATTATATTTACATGTATGATTTTGTATTTGTGGCATTGATCTTTGTAAGCAAAACAATTAAATATGCACGCGATGATTGGCTACAGCTGTGTTACATTAGATCGTCCAGGTTGGTATAGTCCTGAGAAGGACTGTTTTTGTTGTTGTTGACTGACTGTTTTTCGACAACCTTTGCGGTAGTCATCTTCAGAGTCAAATGAGGAGTAAACGTCAGGTTAGCCGTGTTTGTTTTCTGGTTCTTACGTCATTGTATTGTTTGTACAGGAAATGTGTGTTGTCATTGTGATTTAGTGTGAAGTGAAATGTTTTTAGTTGTGAAGTGTGATTTAGGTGTGATGTTTTTAGCTGTAATGTGTGGGTGTCAATTGTGTATTGTCATTGTGAATTAGTGTGAAGTGTAATGTTTTTAGTTAATCGTTTGTTTGTATTGTGAAGAAGTCGTTTGTAAGGTGCCGGTAATTGCTGTGATCTGTTCAGAGGGGTTTGTTCCAAGTTGGTATACCAACTTTCTTATGTAAGCCGTTGTCTATAGTCAGTACTGTAAGTAATGCATTTTGCCAAGTCCCAGTCAATGTTGTGCTTTGTGATTCGGTGATGTTCGGCAATGTGATTAGTTTTGTCTTGTTTCTTAGTAGCTCGTTTGTGTTCAGTAAGTCTTATGTTTAAGTTCCTGCCAGTTTCCCCGATATAGGAGCCAGTTCCTGCCAGTTTCCCGATATATTTCCCCGATATATTAACATGTGCAAATCAATTTTAGCTCAAACAATGGAATCAATAAATCAATCAAAGATAATTTACAATTCAGTCATGAATCTGCTGTCGAGTTGTCCCAAAGGTCTCCGTGGTTTTCATAAGCCTATACAAAGACATTAAACATCTTTTGTATCTTAATTATAAAACAGCACTGTTATTGCGCCCAATTTCTAATATATTCTGTGCAAACACATCTTTTATTTCATCTTAGATAAAGATACATTTAGACTAGGTTAACGATCGTAAAAACTACTTTATTATCCTAAAATTAATTTAAGAAGCTTAAATGATGAGTTATAATTAGGAAGAGTTTGTTTTCCGTGTGTTTTTCGGGTTGAAAGAATATGGAAAGTAAGCAGCTTTAAAATTGTAAAGAAAGGTATATAGCGTCCAGTTTCATTCAAAACAAAATTAAGAAAATAAATAATTTTTTAAACTCATTGGATCAAGTCTAAATTCAACTCATCGTTTTGAAATAATGAACAAAATGACAAAAAAACGCACAGCCTTTGTGTAGTATATTTAATGACAAATTCATTGTTTTTTTAGAGATTAGAATTCAACAATACAACTGTATACACATAAATAACGTTAGCATTTTTTATAAAATTTTGGCTTTAAAGTGCACAAAACGTTTTTATGATAAACTATTCTGTATGAAATAATTTACGCGCCAAAGTTGTTTCGGAGAATAGCGTTTGTTTCCCAGTCAATTGACAAATTCTTTTGCTCAAAGTCTGATTATGTCGAGTGGCGTATCTAGAAGTCACAGTAAATTTTATTTTTATTTGTTAGAAACTTTCATGGTGTTTGTTTGTACTTTAAAATTTGTATATTAAACTTAAATAAAGTACTTATATCTTACTAAAGGTATGATTGAAAATCATGACGTCATAAGGCGTGGCTCTGTATATAATAGATTGACCAAAAATTTTTTTGCTAGATACGCCACTGATTATGTCAGTGTCAAAACATATTCCATCACAGTCACAATCACAAACTTGACTCAAAACCATACAGTGAACAAGAACTTTCCTTCAATTTCATTCCGTATATCTTAAGCAAAACAATTCAAAAGCTCTATTTTCTTTACAACAGTCGTGCAAGTTAACGTCACAAATGAAGCTAAAGTAGCGTTCTTGTTATATTTACTTCATTTGTATTATAAAAGTTTCTATTTTTTTCCTGCACAGTTTGTGTCCATCACTGCAAAAAAGTAAAAGTTTTGATCCTGCAGTGTATATATATGTATCAGCTACAAATCGTACTCCAACAAGAATTAATTAAAGGGGTAGTCAGGCCTTAACACAACTTTCGCTCACATGAAAGTGTATATTGTTCTTACCTCACTCACGAAATCCTAGGTTTCCAATTCAAATTTAACTCGAGAAATAATGCCTTAAATGTGTGTATTTTTGCCTCTTCTTCCATCGCCATTGTGTACATGCAAGCGAAGCCGCAGACCAGCAGCGGTTTTTCGTCGTGACGTCAGTGCGCGGTGATCGTTGTCAACATTAGACAAAATATACTAGCAAAAGTAGAAATTACGCATAAGCATATTCATCGTTGCATTTTATTTTCTAAGTTTTTAAATTATTTTGCGCAATGGATACGGATTACTCAAACGATTCCTCTAGTAATTATTCTGGAAGCAGTGTTTCAAACTACGAAGAAATGATTAACGATCAAAACATGATTCAACCATATGCTTATGAGCCGATTGAAACAGACTCTAGCGAAGAGCCTATGGACGACTCCGACGAAGTTCAGCTGTTGTAACAATGAATGAAGACTCTGCACAATTTGAGGGAATAGATACTCCGGACTGTATTACAGATAATCCTGTTTTTCAAAATCTTTTTTAAATTATTGGGTATTACGACTGGCATGGAGTGAGTACAAACAACACTATGGTTCAAGAACTGAAGAAGGACCTGAACACAAAAGACAAAGACATGTGGCTTACAGGCAACTGGTTCGATGGTGTTGGAATGTATTGGGCAAGGAAAGTAGAGTACCACTACCATCTTTTGCTGTTAGCTACATTCGAGCACATTTCCAACCACCAGGTCTAGAAGAGGACTTTGTCTTTGAGGGTTTTAAATTCGCTGATGAATAATAATGGTAATGTAAACTATTATAGCCATATTTAGAAGTATCGTTAATGATGAATTACTAATAAATAAAAATATAAATTGGATTTAGTAAATGAACAATAAATACAAATTATAATGGTCAAGCCAAACCATTCTTTATTTGTGCTATGCAAGGATTTTGGTGTACATAATTAAAAGTGCTTTTGCTAATGAATTTGCATAGCAAAACAAAAATTGTGCTACTTTACTATTAGAGATTCTCTTATTATTAATTATAAATATTGATATATACATAATTATTTTTTGGGGACTGTTTACCCATTCTTGATTTGTGTGCTTGTAAAACACTTTCTTTGTTTGGCTTTTCTATAGATGCAATATTTCTTGGAATGTTTGCTGGTAAAGAAATCTTGTTATGTACATTTTTTACATTAAAACAGCAGACATCTTCCATCATACCTTGCACAAAAGAATATGACTTACTCACCATAATTGGCTTGGCTACCCAATTTTTTCGCCCTTTTGGAACACGATAAGCACAAGTGGAAGGAGGGAAAATACTTTATTAAAAGTGTTTTTCGTATAAAGGTATGCTTGCAAGAACCAAGTTGGCAGTGATAGACCACAATGTAAACACTGGCAGAAAACAAGCACAAGTTCAATGTGGAAAGCAGCAAGGGAAAAAGTGATATAATATCGTGTTCCCAAAAGGACAAGAAAATTGGGTAGCCAAGCCAATTATGGCGAGTAAGTCATATTCTTTTGTGCAAGGTATGAGGGAAGATGTCTGCTGTTTTAATGTAAAAAATGTACATAACAAGATTTCTTTATCAGCAAACATTTCAAGAAATATTGCATCTATAGAAAAGCCAAACAAAGAAAGTGTTATACAAGCACAATAATAAGAGAATCTCTAATAGTAAAGTAGCCCAATTTTTGTTTTGCTATGCAAATTCATTAGCAAAGGCACTTTTAATTATGTACACCAAAATCCTTGCATAGCACAAATAAAGAATTGGTTTGGCTTGGCCATTATAATTTGTATTTATTGTTCATTTACTAAATCCAATTTATATTTTTATTTATTAGTAATTCATCATTAACGATACTTATAAATATGGCTATAATAGTTTACATTACCATTATTATTCATCAGCGAATTTAAAACCCTCAAAGACAAAGTCCTCTTCTAGACCTGGTGGTTGGAAATGTGCTCGAATGTAGCTAACAGCAAAAGATGGTAGTGGTACTCTACTTTCCTTGCCCAATACATTCCAACACCATCGAACCAGTTGCCTGTAAGCCACATGTCTTTGTCTTTTGTGTTCAGGTCCTTCTTCAGTTCTTGAACCATAGTGTTGTTTGTACTCACTCCATGCCAGTCGTAATACCCAATAATTTAAAAAAGATTTTGAAAAACAGGATTATCTGTAATACAGTCCGGAGTATCTATTCCCTCAAATTGTGCAGAGTCTTCATTCATTGTTACAACAGCTGAACTTCGTCGGAGTCGTCCATAGGCTCTTCGCTAGAGTCTGTTTCAATCGGCTCATAAGCATATGGTTGAATCATGTTTTGATCGTTAATCATTTCTTCGTAGTTTGAAACACTGCTTCCAGAATAATTACTAGAGGAATCGTTTGAGTAATCCGTATCCATTGCGCAAAATAATTTAAAAACTTAGAAAATAAAATGCAACGATGAATATGCTTATGCGTAATTTCTACTTTTGCTAGTATATTTTGTCTAATGTTGACAACGATCACCGCGCAGTGACGTCACGACGAAAAACCGCTGCTGGACTGCGGCTTCGCTTGCATGTACACAATGGCGATCGAAAAATACACACATTTAAGGCATTATTTCTCGAGTTAAATTTGAATTGGAAACCTAGGATTTCGCGAGAGAGGTAAGAACAATATACACTTTCATATGAGCGAAAGTTGTGTTAAGGTCTGACTACCCCTTTAAAGCACATGCAGAAATAGAAACGTTTGATTTAAAATGCAATACACTCTTTTCATAAAATTAGTATACAATAAAAACCTTTACATTCAGTCCCCCCAAATGCTGAATGATATAATTTTTCTTTTAAACGCACACAATAGAGAAATTTGGTATAGCTGACATGATAAATAATGTCATAAATAAAATATAGTTGTTAGAATACATTTAAAAACTTATTTTTTGTGTAAGATTGAATACATATGTATACTTTTCGAGTCATTCAACGGTAACATAAAAGCCCGATATTATACTCCAGTTATGCAAATATTTGCTGTTCCCCCTTGCTCAGTGGGAGTAAATTTGCCGGCTGGCTGTGCTACTGCTATTTATGTCCTACTTTAAGTCTGCTACTTAAGTCTGTTTGACAACATGTTCTCTTTAGCTTAAAAAATGAATGCACAGAGCAAGTAACTTTGCAGGCATGTGGCTTCTTCTATGGAAATATTAATCTCACTTGCAGACTTGCAGTTCATGTACAAAGTTATTTAAATCAATTGATCAGAATAGTTAATTCTTTCCGGAGTACTTTACTTTTTACTACTATGTTCTGTATTCTCATCTCTCTCATTAACAATTAACATTTTTTATGTTTTAACTTACAGCAATTGAGCTCATCACTGTAGTCCTCGCAGTCATAATCACCATCACATTGCCATGATTTATCCACACATCTCTTTGAAGACTTGCATCGAAACTGATTAGACAAGCAAGTTGGGTAACTCTCTAAGGAAGAGATGATAAACTTTTAGCCTGGTCATGTCAATCTCTAAAGTACCTATAAACTGAAAGGGCAAAAACAGGTTAAGTTTTTTAAAGCATTTTGTAGTTGAAAAGTTAATTTCTAGCACACAGAAAATGGTGTTGGCGTAGCAAATTATTTTGATTTTTTGCATCGAAAATTGAAAAAAAAACAGAGGAAACCTTGTGATAAACAAGAGAAGTATTAACTGCGCCGGAGAGCACTGCACCGGCACCGCAGAGGTCATGGGTTCGAGTCCCGTTGAGTCACCTGAATTTTTCAGGTTCATGAGACAATTGCTTAAATTGTCCGGCAAAGTGCGAAGATCATATCTTCATTCAATTTCAAACACCGCACTGCATATAACAATCTTTCAGAAGTATTAACTATTTGAAAAAAAATTCATAGAGAATCTCATTAACAAATAAAGGAGCTAATTGACTACCATTATCAGGATCAGACTTGATTCTAGAAATTGAAAAAGTTGCTCATGTATGCAAGTCATATCAACCAAAGTTTAGAAGAGTACAACTTGCATGCACACAATTACGCGCTTCAACCTTCATTTTTACATTTTATTCATTTTTTGATTTGAGTTTTTTTGTCAAACTTTAAGCAGCAGTATAGTATGTATTAAACCTTTCCAACCCGAAGTATTTTTCAAGATCCGAGTTGATTGTTTTTCTCAGAATTTAAAAAAGACTATGTTACCACAAGTTTCTTCATCAGAGGCATCTAAACAATCATTTTCACCATCACATTTCCATCGTGCCAAAATGCACTCTCCATCTTTGCAGAAGAAGTCATTGTGAGAACATGTCATATTTTCACCTAGCAAACACATTAGAAAATATCAAAACCCAAAACTCTCATTGTAAATAAATACATAAATTTAATTGGTACATAAATTTGAAACTTTATAGTTATTCCAAAAACACATCATGTTGAACAGAATTTATAAGTCGGAGTCTAAATGTCTATATCATAGCAGCTACAGATCAATATAAAGCATTTGAATCACAAACATAACTTATAGAGGCCAGCATTATGGAACAGGACCTTTTTTCGGAAACATTTTTTATACAAAAAACTTAATTGTTTAAAGTGCCTATGGAACGAATTTTGACTCCCTAATTTTTTGACCAAATAAAAAGAAGTACAAAAAGAAGTATCCATCTTCACTCTATATTTGAAATTAGAAATAAAATTGAACTTTTCTATCCAAAGTTATGCTCGTCCAAAGTTGTTATTTTTGGCACTTCTTGTGCGAACTGCAATGGTGCGAACAAAAGGCTCATTTTGTTCGACAACGTTTCACCCCTTTGTAGATGTCTTTGCTCAACGTTTTTTGATGAGTTGTATTTTGATCTATGTAAATGTTTGTTTGGCCAAAAAGCTCGAAACGGAAAGAATAAATATTTGATTCCCAACGTCAATTTGGCTGGAATCGGTCGTAACAAAAACGAGAAATTGACTTAGCTGGACTACGACGGGTTAGATAGACTTGAATTCACAAGTATTTTAAGGACAGAATTACAATTATTGTGAAAGAGAAGTCAAAAAATGAAGTCCTTTAACAAAATATGAGCTTGTTGAAGATAATCAAACCATCATTTTGAAATATTAGCTACCATGAAGAGATCAGTATGAACTATGAAATATTGTATGCATGATAAAACAAGCCTCATGACAGTTCTCTTGATACATTGTCCATGAAAAAGTTTTGAGGAATCTTCAGGGAAATGAGTTTGTCTATAAGTTTGTTTGATATCAAAATAAACATTGTAATTATTATTATTTGAAGCAATTGAGTAGCACACAACCTAAATCAAGACTATTTTAAGCATATCTTTGTTGTTATATATTATTCATGTAGTAGAGCTGTTTCTGCTGTAATAAGAAAACTAGAATGAGGAATAAATATGACTTATACACTATCTTCAGATTAATCTTGGTTACTGGGTAGTATTATCTATCAGGAAGCTTATTTATCAGGAAGCTTATTTATCAGGAAGCTGAGAGGTACACTGTTTGTTAGAACAGAACCCTTATCTTTTAATAACGGCACTGTATTCTTTACACCTGCTCACATTGTATTATTGAAATTTCCATGTTCTATATTATGTATGTATTCAGTATTTTGCTTAGTGCTGCTCTCTAATGACATTGGATCACTTATGTGTTTTTTCTGTGAAGCTATTAAAAGCATTCCAACAAAGCCCAAAAACTCAAACAAGATCGAGTTCAATGCGATTTTCCTGGAGATTTTCCTTTAAGCAATTCACTTAAGAATCGTGAGAATAAAAGAAAAAAGACCAAAATAAATCGCATGGAAGAATCATCATACAATACTTCAAATCTAGACTAATCAAAACAGAGAATGTTTTCGACCTAATATCACACATAATGGATTATATTTCCAGCCATCTGTTTCTAAAATACTTATTTTAGCATAGTGTAAAAAATAATTGAGAAGCAATCATTTTCCAAGCCGAAAAATAAAGAAAAACGAAGAAGAATGTGGCGTCGGCCATATAAATCTATAGTTCGTAAACCAAACGTGTTTCACTTATGACGTCATAACTTATTAACATGACCACTTGAGAAGTTCGCACATTAGGTCCGTATTCAGCGGTAAAATTAACTAACTTCAACTCAATAAAAAATGCTTATTCATATATCAAATTGATTCTAAAACGGTGGATATTTAGTTAAAGAGAAAAAAGAGGGCGGTCAAACTTCATTGCAATAACACTTTAAGTATTTGTGATAATATACAAAATAACAGGAATTGACGTTCAGATAAAGTCTGCAATTGGGTTGCAATGGAACAAACACGAATTTTGCAAGACAAATTTTTAATTTCCACGTACACGTTAGTTATTTTCTTGTTAATTTTTACAACATACAGACAAAAACACGAAAAGAGAAGTCATTAATTACTTGAAAAACTAGAACGTCTTTAAAGTGTGCTTTGAGGACTATGTTGCTTTACTCTACGTATGCTAAAGCTTCAAAAACATTACAATGCACTTCCGGAACGTTGCGAGAACCTTTCATTTCAGTTTTTTCAACATAATCTCATTGACACTCATTTTGAAGAATACTACCCACGTGAAAGATGTTACTGATTAGAAAGTACGACATAATAACAATTGTAACATTTACTGCTGCCATATCCTCAACAATTTACAATTTCTTCCTTTCCATAAAGTATCTTAGAACCATACTTTTAATATTTTTACAATGAAGTATGTCTCAAAATAAAAGCGAGTGACTTCTCAGGCAAGGAAAACAGATTCGCATTAAAAACACAATTGCCCAAAATAAAATTTCAAGCATAGCGATTGAGTAAGAAATAATATTTTATTTTAAGTAACGTTTTTTCTTTATACAAGACATCATAATACTAATATTTAATATGATCAAGGTGTGTGTATCGAGGAATCCGCTCCTCAGCTGCTTCACACTCTTCGTTTTGAAACTTTTATTTTACAAGCTACAAGTGCAATACATCACTGGAGTATTTCTACCGAATTCTACGCTATCTGTTAGAGTTAATTATTTATATCTATTTATACTAACGGTAATTACAACAAAACAAATGTCGAGCTTTCTTTTTACGTCATTAGCAGTACTTACTCTTTCATCGCGTTTCAAATTCTCACGCGTTACAACAAAAAAGAACAATTAACTAAACAAACAAAAAACTTACAAAACGTATTTAAACTGAAAAAATGTCAAAGGGAAACTAAAAGAATGCAATATCCCACAGTGCGTTTATGTATAGCTACAAAGATTTACATATTATGAGTGTAGCTACATATGTTCAATTTCAGTGAGTTAAGTGCGATGATTTAACAAAAAATGGGGTGTATGAAGTGTGAGTTAGAATACAAATTTACTATGTGGTGCAAGTGAGTACAAATAGTAGTGGAATACTCAAAAAAGGTTGTGTATGAAAGAACTGAACGAAAATGATTGCACAGAAATGGTTCAATAACTTCCCTTTTTCCTTTAAACCTCTCTTAAACATGACGCTACGTTTACGAGTGCTTTTTTTATCGCATACTTCTGCTCCTCTCTTTTCTCATTCAACATCCCAACAAAATTTTTACTATTATTCACCGTACTTTTAACATATGCTCAAAATACGAAAACTTACACTATCAACTTGAAATTACAACTGCCAAAAAAATTAGTAAAACACAAAAAAATTGACACTCTCTATAAAGTAAACATTTTGTTTTAAACATTTCGAAAGATGTTACATGTCATCATCAGTAGAAAATATTTGCAAAAATTACAAATTATAAATAAGACCGTGATTAAACGTTCATTCACGTTACTTAAATAAATAAGTCAATTTTCAAAGAAAAATTGTCAATTCACATGACGCACGTGGCACCATGGTTGAATGAAGGATTAATACCATGAATGTGATAGGCTTCTATGTGATAGGCTAATAATAACATATCAATTATAAAATATTTGGAATGAAATGTTTGTTTAATATGGAGTGTCAATTATTTTGTGTTCAGCTAGGAATGTTTAGAAACTGTTTGATTTCAATGCTTTCCACACTCAACTCTTTGACAGCACTGTTCGCCTCTTTCTGCACACCATCTTTTCACTCAAACCATGCACTTATATAACCATCTATGCCCAAAAACCTCATCCATGTCTGTCTTCCCTGCGCAGGCTCAAACTCTCTTCACATATATGCACCCTACTTAACCGCCTCTGTAACGCCACTTTTCTTCACATAAGTATTACGTTTGTTTTTCGCTCAACTGCTACATTTTGTCCTCCTTTTCATTGAAAGAGATGATTCCCAAATTCCTGAGACATGGTGTTGTTTATTTGACAGTCAGTAATACTACTTGCCATCGCCACACCAGAATCCCAAAACACTTGTGAGTTTCACCTTTGACAGGAAAACAGTCCGCATTTTATGCTAGATGTGAATACATTAGGTCATACAGCTTCCTTTGACGAATTTTCTATAATCTATTCTTCACCCTACATGGCTGTATATATATATATCCCTGATTTAATCATTAATGAAAGCATCGTGATCTCTAAACTTCAATGACCTAGAACCCAATTTGTTAGATATCTGATTCTGCCGAAGTTTTATAGTAACGAGTGAGGCAAGCCGCCGTCTTTAAAGGTGGCAAAACCATTGAACAAAAAAAAACATAGAACGCTACCTGTAATAGAAAAGCCTAACAAGGAGTTACTATCGCTAGGCCTTGCTGCCTCTCTCTCCCCAGTAGGCAAAAACTGCCATTTGCAAATTGTATTGGATGTTTTCCATCATTAAGTAGATCTGTGTCCTCTCTTACACTTTGCACTTTACTTTCCATAGCTTTAATAGCTACACACCTAATATGCAAATCTTTGTATATAAATAGACACACACCTTTCTTTTAATTATTTGTCTTATAATGTCTTGTTTAAAGACAAATAACTTTTTATAACTTACTCAATGGCTATATGGTTCGAATTTTATGTTAAACAATTGTTTTTTATTACGAATCAAGCATTTAACTGATTTACATAG